CACACACACACACACACTCACACAAAAATGCAGAAAGTGAGAGTTGAACCCCTAACTCTGACCTTCTTTATGCTCTTTTTTACCTTTGTAAACTAAAAAGAAAGTGAACGTTGAATGAAAACATTTTACTACAGACAACATGTGTGTTGTAAAACAACATGTCACTCAAGAGGAAGGATATTTCTGCTACAGGTTCCCTAAAGGTGACAAGAGGGCAAGGAGAGCGGGGACCTTTTCCTGACCAGTTAACAGTAGTTCCACATATGGGCCTCCATTTCTAACAATCAGCTTCAATGTTCAAGTTCAACTACCGCTGTGGTACTAAGTCCTGGTTAAGAGAGGAACTGAACATAGTTTGGGTTGCCTTTGAACCCCTTGTGACCCCACCAAAGGAAAGCACACAAATAAACACTATTTATGAAGAAATAATCCCGCCCCAGATAAGATCACAAGAAAATGAACCGGAGGAATGTCCACTGGATTGTCCGACTCTAAAAACAGTCTTCCTACTCTAACAGTCAATCCAACAAAAGAAAAATCCAACTAAAAAGCCTCATTGTCCTCCCTTCAAAATGCTAAATCATAAAAAAGGAAAAGCAATGCACTGCACAAAAAACCTCCAAAAAGGAATCAAACTCACGGATGTCGGGTTGGAAACAACTTCAACTTCAACTCCACCCCTCCGTCTCCAAACCAAAATTCCCTCCCCAAACAATTCTTTGTCCCCTGGGTCACGCCCCCTTTCTCCTGAGGGGAACATAACACCTGACTACTCATGACTTGTGGGAAGCGACAAGTTAAAGTAGGGAGGGACGTAGTTCACCAGAGGTTAAAACCTTCTCGGCTGTTTATCATTAAACCCTCTATTGTTAATGCAAACATATTGTTCCCCTTCCATTCGTGGCGGTGTCACAATGTAGTGACAGAAACACAATCCAACAACATCCAGCAAGACATTGCACTGAGGGAATCAAACATGTGCGAGCACACACTCTGCTCACTGATGATGATGGTGATGTGTGGTGTGTATGTGTCAACAGGAAGAAGTGCGACAACGACGTGAAGAAGAAACTGATGTTGGAGCTTCACGATCTGATCCGCGGGAAGATCAAACAGGTGAGAATTACTCCGTCTTTTCATCCGTTCACTCCAGATTTGAGGTTTTGTTTGTGCATTCCCTCAATAATTAGTGCTCACTAATGCAACTGAATCCCTTGACTGTGCCCCCCCCTCCTTCCAGATGGCGTTTGCTCACGACTCGGTGCGAGTGCTGCAGTGTTTCATCCAGTTCGGCAGCCACGAGCAGAGACGGGAAGTGTTCGAGGAGCTCAGAGGTGAGCATACACGTTTTATGGTGTGATATTTTTGCTGTACAAGTAGAGCAGCTAATTAACAAATACTAACTGTGGGTGCTTTGTTGTCTCCCACAGATGACGTCATCGGTTTGTGTAAGTCACAGTACGGCAAACATGTGGTGAAAAAACTGCTGATGTACGGGTGAGTCGGCTCAGATTGGTTTCTTCTGCTTTCAGCAAACGCCCAATGTTTGAATCAGACTCTCATGTGGTCCAGTTCAAAATATATAGATGTTATTTCAGTTGTGAGTGTGTGTGTGTGTGTTTCCTCCACAGGAACAAGGAGCTGGTGGCAGCGGTGATACCGACATTTAAAGGTCACGTGCGCACGATGCTTCGCCACGTCGCCGCCTCGTCCATCATCGAGTACGCCTACAACGATAAAGCCGTGCTCGCACAGAGACTCATGCTCACCGAGGGGCTGTACGGGAACACCTTCACAGTCTGCAAGGTACACACACACACACAGATCATATGCCATGGTATTTGACAATGTTGACGGTATCCCGATGACGTATCCCGTATTGGATCGACTGTGGTTATGCGTGTGTGTGTAATATCTGCTGCTGACTGACTGATTGCCTGTGTGTCCAGTCGTCTGTGTGCAACACCATTGAGAAAGTTGCGGAGGCGAACCCGGACAAGCTGAACAACATCATTGACGAGATGAAGCAGATTCTCACACCCATGGCTCAGAAGTAAGACGAGAACACGGAAAAACCTAAATCACACGCTCGGCACTTCTGATGGGCATCTTTCACTGTTAGTCGCAGCTCTACGTAAGGTCACGATAACAGAAGAATAGGAGAAAACAATAATAGAACAAAGCAAAATCATGTTACAGGTAAATGTAACACTGACATGGAAGACATGAGGAATTTTGATTTGACTGATTCACAATATTTATGTGGTGGAAGTAATAACATTTGCTTTGAGATTAGAATGAATTTCCTCAGGTTTAGTTTAAGTTAAGTTTAGTTATTATTTCTTGGATAAGTTCAACGCAATGAGAAGCTCTGTGAATGCAACTTTATTTAGATTTGTTTTATTTCTTTTCTTTTCATTCCTCCTTTTCCTTATCTACTTTGTCATTTGAATTGATATGATGTAATGCATATTGTTTTATTTACTTTGATTGCATTTTGTTATTATGTAGAATTTAAGCCATGTAACTACAACTTTAGTTGTTGTGTTTCAGAGAACAAGTGATCAAACACTCTCTGGTCCACAAAGTCTTCCTGGACTTCTTCCTGTTCGCACCCGACAAACCCAAAACGGTAAGAAGCCCTTTGACATCTCGCCTGATGTCGTAATATATTTCTCTAGTAATGCTTTGAAGAAGGCTACAGTGTGCTGTAAAAAATCAAAATGCAACAATTTGACCTATGAAGAAGAGAAATTTTACAGGAGCACAAAATAATTTCAAAATAAAAGACAGGTTGATACGTTTATTAAGTGCTGACATGTTTCCTCTCTTTGGTTTGTATTCGCTGTGATGTGAGCAGGAGATGATTGAGTCGATCAGAGAGTCCGTCGTCTACATGGCTCACACACACGACGGGGCACGAGTGGCAATGCACTGTTTTTGGCACGGGACGGCTAAGGTGTGTACAGACACACACACCTACACACACACAAAGAAGAATTTGCCACCCTTTATGTGGATGTCCAACCAGTGTTGATGGTAAACGTAGCCAATTGAAGCAATACAGTCCTCAGTGCGTGCTATATACAGTTGTGTGAAAAAGTGTTTGCCCCCTTCCTGATTTCTTATTTTTTTGCATGTTTGTCACACTTAAATGTTTCAGATCAAACTAATTTAAATATTAGACAAAGATAACAAGTAAACACAAAATGCAGTTTTTAAATTAAGGTTTTTATTATTAAGGGGGAAAAAAAATCCAAACCTACATGGCCCTGTGTGAAAAAGTGATTGCCCCCTAAACCTAATAACTGGTTGGGCCACCCTTAGCAGCAACAACTGCAATCAAGCGTTTGCGATAACTGGCAATGAGTCTTTTACAGCGCTGTAGAGGAATTTTGGCCCACTCATCTTTGCAGAATTGTTGTAATTCAGCCACATTGGAGGGTTTTCGAGCATGAACCGCCTTTTTAAGGTCATGCCACAGCATCTCAATCGGATTCAGGTCGGGACTTTGACTAGGCCACTCCAAAGTCTACATTTTGTTTTTCTTAAGCCATTCAGAGGTGGACTTGCTGGTATGTTTTGGATCATTGTCCTGCTGCAGAACCCAAGTGCGCTTCAGCTTGAGGTCACGAACAGATGGCCGGACATTCTCCTTCAGGATTTTTTGGTAGACAGCAGAATTCATGGTTCCATTTACCACAGCAAGTCTTCCAGGTCCTGAAGCAGCAAAACAGCCCCAGACCATCACACTACCACCACCATATTTTACTGTTGGTATGATGTTCCTTTTCTGAAATGCCGTGTTACTTTCACGCCAGAAGTAATGGGACATACACCTTCCAAAAAGTTCAACTTTTGTCTCGTCAGTCCAGAGTATTTTCCCAAAAGTCTTGGGGATCATCAAGATGTTTTCTGGCAAAACTGAGACGAGCCTTTATGTTCTTTTTGCTCAGCAGTGGTTTACGTCTTGGAACTCTGCCATGCAGGCCATTTTTGCCCAGTCTCTTTCTTATGGTGGAGTCATGAACACTGACCTTAATTGAACTCAGCTTTCCAAAGATGTGATAAACCACAGTTAATTTATGTTTTAACAGGGGGGGCAATCACTTTTTCACACAGGGCCATGTAGGTTTGGATTTTTTTTCCCCTTAATAATAAAAACCTTCATTTAAAAACTGCATTTTGTGTTTACTTGTGTTATCTTTGTCTAATATTTAACTTTGTTTGATGATCTGAAACATTTAAGTGTGACAAACATGCAAAAAAATAAGAAATCGGGAAGGGGGCAAACACTTTTTCAAACAACTGTAGACCAAGAAAGCCGACTTCTCCTTCTATCCACATACAAGATGGTGAATTGTCCCTTTAAAACAACTCACTGTGGGACAAAGATCCAGATTATTATAAGAATACATCAGACTGTATAATTAGTAGATTTGGCCTTTCAATGGTGGTGTATGTTTTTTTTTCTTTTTTCACGTTTCAGGACAGAAAAGTCATCATCAAAACTATGAAGACCTACATGGTGAAGTTTGCCACGGTGAGTTCTCAATGCCGCTCCTTTCATTCATAATAGAAACAAGCTTTCAATGCTTCATTGGACTTTAGAAAAGATCAGAAACTAAATGATTATTCTCCGAGAGGAAAGGTCTGAACCAAGCCTGTCATTGGTCCACAGGGAGAGTATGGTCACCTGGTTCTTCTGGCCATGTTCGACTGCGTGGACGACACCAAGCTGGTCAAACAGGCCGTGCTCTCAGTAAGTGTGAAGTCATGTGGTTTGATGATTGAGAGCCACCGCACTATCCCTAGAATCAATGATTTAAAGAAACCCTCAGGTCAGGGAGAAGAGTTGAAGTTAATGTTAAATTCTCGTCTCACCCGTTCAGGAGATCTTGGCGTCTCTGGATGAGGTCATTGGTAATAAATACGGTAAGAAGGTTTTGCTGTACCTGCTGACTCCCAGAGACCCTGCTCACCTGCTGCCGGAGATCATCAAGGTGCTGCAGCAAGGAGACGGAAACGCACACAGGTTTGTGTTGACTCGATCTTCCTAACAAATCCTGTTGCTGTTAAAAGTAGGGGTAAAAAACTAGAGGTATCACACAGCTGTGAGTAACAAAGGGAAGGAAGTACAATGTCCACTGGCATGTAGCACAGAAACACTGTAGAAAAACGAGTATCTCATCATTGTAGTTTTCATAATACGTTATTGGAGTGCATTTTTGATGACAAACGAGTGATCAGCTCCGCGTTCCTCTCAGTAAAAAGGACATGGCGGTTCGGAGGAAGGAGCTGCTGGAAGTCGTCTCCCCCCCGCTGCTGGAGCACCTCCATGACAACGCCGCCACCATGGTGACGGACAAGGCGTCCAGCGTCACCATCAGTGACATCCTGGCGTCGGCCTGCGGGGACCTGCGGCCCGCCATGACTGCTGTGGCTCAGCTGGCCAACCATGAGTTGGTACCAGGAGGGACCAACGGACAGGTACAGAGTGTTACTGCAGGGATGGTTGTCAGAAGATGGAGGTTTTTACTCGTGTAATCCAACTAAAAGGGCAGTTGTTCACTCTGAGTTTTTGTTTCTGCTGCAGCTCCACATGGCGGAGCATCCAGCAGGACACCTGGTGCTGAAGTGGCTCATGGAGCAGGACATGACACTGGCCGAGAACGGCAAGGAAGGTAAAGACACACCTACCAGCCAGCGTTGTGGGCGTTATAAGCCTGGTTTCAGATCAGTTCATGTCAGCATGCTATGGAAATTAACATTAGAGAGACTTAAAGTCACTATTAGTCAGAGGCTCGTAAACATATCTTCATGTACTTCTGTTGGTAACTGGGATATAAAATGCAATCACCAAAACTAGAAAGAATGTTAAAGAGCTTTGCCCGTATGCCTCACACACGAGGGCATCAACAACTGTTGACCCATGGCTCAACCTTCTTGTGCATTAAAGTCAGTGAAGTTTTCAAGAGACAATCATCTCGTTGGAAAAATCCGAGTTGAACTATAACGGTGTCCATTGTCTCTACCTCACTTGTCGTCTCAGAGCGGTTCGGCAGGATACTGGTGGACACGGTGGGACCAGACAAACTGAAGACCTGGGTCAAAGTCAACAGAGGAGCCATGGTGCTCTGCAGGTCAGTGTGAAAACACACACACACACTCCGATTACATCATACACTGCTGTTCCATCAAGGATCAGTTTACTCAAATCACAAGCTTCCCTCTGGTAGTGGTTTTACCTCCACCTCAGTACACTTGAAGTGAGTGGAGCACATTGAGTCTGTGGATTATTTATGTAACTATTCAATACTTAATGCAGAACCATCAGAGCCAGTTAAAGCCAGAACTACTGTATCTGCATGGAGAGATGCCATTAGAGGGAAGGGAGACACACACTTTTGGTATTTTTGTGGGCAGGCTAACGTATTTTCTCTAGAGTCCTCTCCGTAATGTTGTCAGACACTTGAAATAACAATGTAAATCCTCAGTGTCGTCAACCAGCACTTTTAGTGAACGTACGTTGACTGTGAGAAATTGCCCCGAGATATAATATAGCAGCTGCAGCGCTCTCACTTAATGCTGGATCCATTTCACTTAGACATGTGAGAATAGGGTCCAGGTTGAAAAGTACCAAAGTTACGCTTTAAACTAACTATGTAACTGGCCCCTGGTAAGAATCACCCACCAATCTTTATTCTGCATTAATGCCGTAATCTGAATAAACCTTTTTTTTCTGCGCGATCCTGTGTCAGTTGGAAAAACTTGGAATAAAATAAGGGGTTTGTGTGATTGTAGGTTGTTTTTTGGCTGTGCCTTCACCAAATATAGTGACTGAAATGTTATAAGCAGCGTCGCAACAGGCAAATACGGAGCCCAATATGTGTGTGAACTGACTAGAAATGGTTAAGAGCCATGACATGAATGTGGGAAATGCTATCTATTGGTTGATATTTGGATATCTGGTCCCAAGCTAACCTTTGAGATCTCTGCCTGTGTTTCCGTGCGCAGCCTCCTGAACAGCTACGACAAGTCTGTGGTGGCAGAGGTGAAGGCGGCGCTGGAGTCCATCAAAGCAGAGCTCAGCAGCATCAGCAACAATAAAGGAGCTGAAATCCTGCTGGAGAATCTGAACAAGTAGAGACTTTTGATTCCAAAACAGACTTGTGATGGCAAAAGGCATCACTTCCTGTGCAGCTGTGGGTCTTTTTCCCAGAAAACGCAGACAAGACTGCGAACGTTTTCATGAAGTGGATACACCCCGAAGCACCGTTGGCAAGTTCATCCCTGATGGAGAAACATGAGTTTGTGTGTAAATGTTGAGTTGTATCTGTGAGTAATAACATAAAAGGTGTTCTCGGGATGAGGAGATGCTACGAGAAAACAGGTTAGGATACGCAGCTGCCTCTTGTGTGCCAGCAGCAACAAAACGCATGTAATTCAGTCTGTCAAGCTGCTTTCAATGAAACTTAATATTTTTTTCACATTAAAAGCTTGGACAAATAAAACCATCGCTATGGCTAAAGACAACCTAAAGTTTTCCTTGTGGTAATTTGTGTAAACTGGCCCTTTAACACAATGCCACAGTCAGTGATTGTGTCAGCAAATTAAAGATTATTCAAAGTATAAATCATTTTTATGTCGTAACTAAAATTTGAACATAAACTCCATGAAGTAATTGTCAGCATACTCTCATTTGCTCTGCCATTCCAGTTGACTCAAACTGGACTTAAACATTTTGTACTTCTTTTTCTACCATTGGAGAGAGCCTGGCTAGCAGTTTCCCCCTGCTTCCAGTCTTAATGCTAAGCTAGGCTAATCACTTGCTGGCATCCCAAGTACTAATGTAACTCTTTGCAAATAACTACATGTCGATCACCTCATGATCCATAATGTAGCTTCAGTTAGCTTTTAACAAGGAAGTAACAGCATACTGTTTATTACAGCAGAGCAACCGCTAAAAACCACTGATGTCTTAGTATTATCAGTTCTGCTTGAGGAAGTAGTGTTAAACATTTCCTGCACTAGTCAGAAGCGATGACTCAGTGGCTACGTTTATACACAGAGGGAGGGAGCTGCACAGCTTAATGACACGATAGAGACGACAGGTTTATTATTATGGAGGGAGAGAGACATATGGGGAAAATAAACAGGTCTTATATCCATCGTCCAGATGTCGGGTCTTCAATTTGTGATTTCAGTCCAATTGGCGTTGGCTCTTCAATCCTGGATTACATGTGAGCTTTGGAGACTAATGGACGGAGGAAGAGTAGAGGTCGGAGATGATGGAGCAACCGACAGCTTCAGCATGGATGTAGATTAAAAAGAATGTAAGGATTAGTATGTAGCATTTTGGCAAGTAAAGTAAGAAAGGGAAGACATTTTCTTTTTCAATCTACTCCACACCGCCACCGATGGGGTGACATTTTAAATCGTCTTAACTGAAATCCAGACAGTGGGAGATTTCTCAGCAGGTTATTGGTTCAAACCTCCATGACTCCTGCCGCCACAGGCGTCTGCATGTTAAAATGGCCTCTACAGACTGTCACAGGTCATTTTCGCTTCTGCCTTCCAGACAAATCTCATCACAGACTTTGAGAATCTACAACCTGGCTCACTGCAGGCGGGCGGGACGTCCTCGGCTGAGCGGCATCCTCGTAGCACTCGGCCAACCTCTTAGCCGCCCTCCTTTTGAAGTGCACCTTGCCGCGGGCCTTGGTGACAGCGGCGTACTCGTGGGACTTGAGCTTGGTGTAGTAGTCGGAGAACTTGTTGTAGAGGATGGAGATGGGCATGCCGTTGAGGATGACGCCGAAGGAGATGCAGGCGAAGGCGAAGATGCGGCCCAGGTTGGTCTCGGGGGTCATGTCGCCGTAGCCCACTGTGGAAATACTCACCTGAAGGATGAAAGAGAGAAAGAAAGAATACTTAATACAAGGCACAATAAGATCATAATTTCTCCTTTTTAAAAAAAAAAAATATAGACTGATACAGATAACTTTTTCTACCCAGGGCTCCTTAATGTAATGTTTAATATATATATATTATTTATTTAACTCACAGGTTCCTGAAATGATTTTTAAAAAGCTGTTCATTTCTAAAAACAGGCTAAATCCATAATTAAAATGTATACATTTTAATACACAATTCACATTTTTTTCCAGTGAATCTACATTCTGTAATCAACTCCTTATATGCTGGAGTAGTTCATTATTAGTGGCGGGGTACGCCATGCCTGCAGAGGGATTCACAGGAGACAATGTCTGCATGTACTCTCTCCTACAGCAGTGTTAAAGAGACAAGATGGCTTTTATTGTGAAGCAGTCACGGGAAATGAGATGCATTTGTTACCACGGTTAGCGCTGACGAAGCGGTTCATTTACATCGACAAATATAACACCGCTGTTATTTCCATTTTGCTCAAATCCGCCGAGGACCAAACCCTCGCCTGATTAACTGTGATCTCAAAGTACCACCCAACAGATTAGAATCAGTCACATCTCTTCTAATTCACCCGGACCAAACGGGTCTCATAAACACCAACATGCCACGCTTATTCAGTCTAGTCAGCATATCTCAGGAAAACCATTCTGAAAAGGTCTGGGCCTGCAAGTGGCTGACACTCTCCAAGGGTCTGAGGGTGGCCCAAAGCAGTCGAAATAATCTCGTGACATCACGGCACCACACAACCTGACCTCCACCCACTAGTGTTCCCGTCCACGGTTTGCTGCAGCGCTCAATCTCACTGTAAACGGTGAAGTGACCTCCTGAGGTGTTGCCAGGATGAGTTATGTTTATGTTATGCAAAAATGGAGCAGATTAAGTTTTTAATCCCAAAGGAACCAGTACGCAGGAAAGCACGTCACCGATGCTGCCACTTGTCTTTGTGTTTTTTTAAACTGAGTAAACTGGCTGGTGTGTTTTGGAAAAACTCACTAGCTGAAGGTGATGGTACACACAGAAAGTAGGATGATTGACAGGTTGCTTGGACGTGTGTGCATGTTTATGTTTGTGCACTCACGGCGGCCCACCACCACGCATTCGGCATGGAGGTGAAGTTGGTGTTGTAGACGTCGTGCTCCACGGTGTACACCATGGCGGAAAAGATGAAGATGCCCATGCCGATGAAGAGCAGCAAACAGCCCACCTGCAAACAAACAAAGGGAATTTTATTTTGAATTTCCCCGTATGTTAACGTCATTATTTTGCTCATAACTGAGGCGTGGAAGTCTTAGATCCATTAGCATCTATCCATACAGGCCATGCCCGTCTCTGCACTCACAGATTCTCTGGCATTTTGAACATATGCAACACTTTCTTCACCGCTCTTCCTACAAATTTCATAATAAGAAACTATTCTTTGACACAAGCTGTGGGTACAGTCAGACCTGCTGGTAGCACTGTCTCAGGGTGAAGCCGAAGGCTCTGAGGCCTGTGGAGTGACGGGCCAGCTTCAAGATCCTGAAGATCCGCATCAGACGCATGATCCTCAGAACCTGACCCAGAGATAAGACAACAGGAGAAAAATGTATGTGGACAAAAAATAAATCTAATCATCTCATCCCAGCCTCTCCCATCAGCCCCCTTTGTTTTTCACCTTTCCAACACACGACATAGCCTCAATGTCCCCCGAGTGCAGGTGCATGTCCTCGTCCTCGAAGCACTCCAGGAGCATCTGCAGGTAGTGTGGCAGGATGGCGACCATGTCGACGGTGTTCAGCACGCTGCGTACGAAACACTTGAGGTCGGGGGTGGATACCAGGCGCAGCAGGTACTCCAGGGTGAAGAAGCTGATGCAGAACGACTCCACGTACTCGCCATAGAACCTGCCGCTGAGCTGGCCCGACGCAGTCTGTAAGAATAAATAATCAATGATTAAAAGAGTCCTGTTTTTGACTGATGAAATTGTTTTCGTGTACGGTGTATGATTTGTGAAGTGTGCTCTACTGGGGCAGCTTTTGTTTATTCTCTCTTCTTCATGTTTTTACACCATTTGCTTTTGATTTGTTCCCTCTCATACACACTCACACAAGGTGAAACACACACACCTTGTACTGCATCTCCTCCACGGTGTTGAGCGTCATGGTGACCAGCGACACCAGCACGAACATGGAGGAGGCGACGGCCATCAGCTTGGCGGTGACCGAGGAGAACGGCTTCTCCATCATGTTCCAGATACTCCTCCGGGTCGGCCCGAAGGCCAAGCCGTCAAATAGCTCCTCGTTTTCCTCCATCTCCAGCTGGACGACACCAGACAGAAATGCATCCCATTCACAGAATTGAAACAGAAGAAACGTTTTTTTTTTTTTTTAATGGCAATAAAAAAAAAACATACATTTTTATAAGTGGCCAACTATGGTCAATCACAGAAATTAAATGATTTTTCTTTTTAGAATGTAGTCACTTTCTTCAAGGATAAAACAGTGTTTCAAAAACAGGGAGGACAGACGAACAAAATGTCTAGATCACAAACTAAAACGCAAAAAGGAGAAAACTGAATGTCAAAAGAGCACAGCGAGGAAGAAACTGGTACAACAAACGGCAGCAGAGTGAGACCTCTGTGATGGAAACATCGGTCTGAATCTGTGCCAAGAAAAAGCTTATTCTCCGCTCTCCATCTGTCAAGACGGCGGAGCAGAGCAGTGATTTATAATGTAGGTCATCCAGTTTCAGAGTCAGCCAGAAGATTACGAACAAAATCTCACAGGTACAAATGTAAAAGCATAAACTGCTGAACCACTGAAGCTGGAAGGGGATGACTTCTTGGCATTATTATTTGCAGTATTTTTGGAGCCTGGAGGGGGGAAAAGTAATAAGTGCGTAAAAAAATAAATAATGAATTACATAGTTCACAAGGACTATTCACTGACACTGAAAACTGCCTCTAGTGTGTCCTGCAGAGTATCCCATTGTAACTAGTTATATTTTATTTTTTTATAAATTAAATTAAACCCAGTACTACAAATTCATTTCCATTAACCTCCATTCTATTTGGGTGGAGACATGACTCTGAACAGAATAAAACCCAAACTATATGTATTGATAGGTGTGAAATGAATTCTCACCTCCGAGACCAATTAACTAAAATGAGTTGTGATAGTGTGTGAAAGAAAACAGATTCATTAGAACAGGAGCTTATTAGGCCTTTTAGCTGTGTTTAATAGGCCAACGTTAGCTAATGTTGCTAGCTCGAGAGTGTCGGTGTGAAACCATCACCAGCATGCTAACTTGCTCACAAGTCACCATTGTTTACCGTTTTCGCCATCTTGGTTTAGCGCGTTAGTATGCTAACATATGCTAATTAGAGCTAAACACAAAGTACAGCCGTGGCTGATGGGAATGTCCTCATAGCTTTCAGGTATACGGTCATGAACATGTTGACGAGATGATGTCACTGGATAAAAAAAAGTCAATCACCAAACTAATTTCTATACATCCTGAGGGGACCATGACAGTCTGACTGACATTACCAGCAATGTCATCTGTATTTTTTTCTTGATTTATTCTTCATGGAGAGCAGAAAGTCTGAAAACGTACAGACTGTTTAAGAGCTCACTAATAATGTCTCAAAAACCTTTGCCACACACAAAGGCTCCGATTATCTCGGTTATTTCTCCACAGCAGCGTACAAAGGACAGTGCATTGGCCAATACCGTTTACCAGAACACCACTTGATGTTTCGCTAAATGTGTGGACATGTCAACGACAATTCAGAGATCTGTAACCTGGCTACCTTCAGCAAGTCTCCAGAGTTACAGGCGGGCTACATGCTTCTCTATCACCCTTATATAAATAAATAAAAAACACCTCTGCTATCAGCTGTCTCTGTATCTTCAGTTCCTCGTTCAGCTCGTCCTGCCTCTCTTCAAAGGAGACACGGCAGCAGCGTTGGCTGTTTCTGATTCTGACGCCCCAGTAGTTTATCTCCTCCAGGAAGTTGCGGGGACACAGCTCGTCTTTAATGCACAACACTCCGGTTCTGATGAGGAGGACAGAGAGACAGGAGAACGGGGGTCCAGAATTATTCCAAGGAGTCATATGACGAAGGCGGAAAATCCCTTCCTCTTTCATCTTACAATGCATTTTATTTGAACCTGTAGAAGTTGAAGATGTTGTGGAAGATTTTAGGGTCCCGGTCGAAGAAGAACTCTTTGCTCTGGACGATGTAGTCGTCACACAGGTCCAACTTCCTGCTGTGGTCTGTGTACGTGGCCAACTGGCCGATCCGTGTCTTCGGATACCTGGCCGCTAACCTGTAGGGCAAGTAGTACACCTGGAGGAGAGGAAAACAGGGAGATATAGAAAAGGTTAAAAATATATTTATAATGGCAAAGAGGATGATTTGAACTGTTGGAGAATGAAGCTGGAACTCACTAGAAGGCTTTAAAAATGGTTGTTGAAGGTGAAAACACTAATTTAATATACAAGTTGCAGATTATAACCGTGTACACTTTCTCAGAGCCCAAGGTCTTGTCTTCACATTGCTTGTTTTGTCAAGGTTTTGCCATTTTATTTACAATAGCATAGAACTGAGAAAAGTTGCAGATCTTCACCTTTGAGAGGCTGGAACCAGAAACTGGTTTGATTTTTTTTTTTGCTTGATAAATTTCAAAGGAAACAGGAGCGATACAAAGAAAAACTGCAGCTGTAACACACATTGCCAGCAGGAGGCACAAGAGTTGAAATTACAGGAGCTATGTCTTTCTTTGCCTGTAGGAGGCGACATCAACATCCGCTGGTTTATATCTGCAGATTCTGTTACTTTACTTTCCTACACAGGTGGTGCTGGTCAGCAGGGGTAGAACTGATCTGACAGTGACTGAACAGCTCCCCCTAGTGGACAGTGTGCAGCCCGCTCAATGCGAATGAGTGACTTTGCGAGTGAGTTACAGTAAGAGATCAGTCCGGTTTTCAACATATCCAGCCGAGCAGCATGTTCGTGGTAGAAGTTGAGTAAAGTTACCGTTCCTCCAACGTTGATGTTGAGAGTGACGTGTTTTTTCGGAGAGAGCAGCAGGTAGGTGGGAGACACCGGGAGTCGATCCTCCTCCTCCTCCTCCTCCTCCTCGTGTTCATATTCGGCATAAAGATCATAGATGTCTCTGCCCAGATCCTTCACAAACAACAAAACAACTCTGGTGATGGATTCACCATTTTAAGCTTGTCTACAAGCTGAATTAGACAAAATGAAAAAGGGATCAAACTAAGCAGAATACAACTGAAAGACTGGGATAAAGATTAGAACATGCATGCAAATAGTTAATGACTCATGAGATACATCATAATTAAAGAATGAGAAATAGATATAAAAAAGAAAAAAAAAATCATCAACAAAGAAAGATTTTAAAATAAATTGAAATCCCAGATCTGTGATCAAAGATGGTATGTTACCTGCAGGCATTTTTTGTCTTTTATGATTTCTGATTTCTCTGTGCATCACACTAAATCCATTTTTAATAATTGTTTTATTAATCATCTAAAATCATTTATGAAGCTCCCCGCTTCTCAAATATGTGAATTTGCCGCTTTACTCTGGCTTTTCTTGGGCTCTGAAATATGAATCAATAATGAAAATATATATAAGTAGCAGCACTATCTATCCATTCATACATCAACAATAACATAGCCTTGCATTTTGAACACTTTGCTCTGCATTTAACTCGACAGAGGGATGTGATTTTCACTCATTTGAAAACAAAATCCTGTAAAGTGAAGAAAATGGGAGCTTTGAGAAAGCACAAAAACAATAAAAAGACAACAGTCATGTTTTCATGACTTTTGGGGACAATACATCGACTTGTATTCATTTCCTGGAGACTTACCCATAACAGCTAGCAGCCTAATCCTAACCTACAACCAACTATAAACCAAGTCTTCACATTTAAATGTAATCATTTATGTTATGAGGATGTGCATTTTGTCCCCGTAAGGAAGGCGAGTCCCCACAATGTGACTGTGTAATCAGATTGGCGTCCCCTTAATGTATAAATAAAGGAAATGTCTGACCTGCATGGAGTTCCATGGCTTAACAAAGGTGTTGGTGAAGTCCAGATAGTCGTCCGCTTCTTTCACAGATTGAGTCCGGCTGCCGTGCTTGTAGCCGGAGAACAAACTCCTGCTTCGGGTTCTGAGGTGGGTCAACATGGTTTCCTCCTGAAACTAAAATCCAACTGCTGGGAGAGACATGCCTGCAACTCTCAACACCATCGCATACGTACACAGCTGGTACCTTGCACAGGGGCACAAAACCATCATCACACACACATCCACAGTAGCAAATAAACGAGTAAACATGCATGCAAGGATGGGAAACATGTTCACACTAATTCGGAGAGAAATCATGTCAACACACACGCGCGTACACAGTAATAAGGTAGGAAATGACTTGTCCTCTAATGCAGCTGACAGATGATGTGGGAGCTTATCTTCTTATATCCATCTCTTGATCTCCCGCTCTCCTCCCACTTACTCCAACATCTCATAACTTTACAAATCTGTTATCGCGGGGCTTGGCGGTGTAGTGGAAGTCAAATACAATGTATTGCAGAGAAGTGACAACAAACAAGAGTTTACTACATAATACTAGTGACGCTGCGTGAGAATGGTGCTTTGAGCCAAGCACTAAGGATGCTAACAATTTGCTAACAAAATGTACTATACATTTGACATATTCCAGTTAGACAATAAAAGAAATTCGTTCATTTTTACAGGACTTTTTAATAGATAAAGTATTCTGAAAGCTGTTAATTCTGGTTAATATTACCGGCAAAATGTAAAGTACCTCATGTGCAGTGGTTGTTATTAAACCGTAGTTAAGTAGCTCGTGTGATGCGACCCATTTTAATTAAATCTCCACTTTGTGAAAACAGCTGGTGCAGCTGGCTCCTCGTCATCTTCTCACTGGTTACAGCTGTTGCAACACTTCAAATCATTGAAACATGGAGATATTTGTTACAGCTCAGTTTATAAATGATTTAGGGTTTTTTTGTACGGAAGCCCTGAAAGGAAAATTAGAACGCGTTTTCTCTCCCGTTCATGACTGAACAGGTAAAGGTTTTGCCAGAATAATCTTTCCGTTACTCTTCATTTCATCTGAAAACAGGTAAAATGGTTTTGTTGTTGCAATACTCATTTGGGCCACAAGAGGCTCAAGTGCATCACTGACCCATGTTCTAAATGAGACTAAAAGCACTCTGGTTCTCTTCCAGGAGAGTTTTAATTTCTCGAAACACAAATTCGGCCTACATTTTTATTTGTGTGTTACAAGTCATGTAAATTTAAATCTCTAAACTGCATTCGGTCATGCAAAATCTGCAGGACACGGGAAAAGAATCTGCTTCCGTTCATAATCCAAGTTGTATTAACTAACCACGTTCGAGCAGGCTGTGGTTGAATGCAGGTTAATAGACCGCGTGGCGCACAAAAGAGACAAAATGCATTATGGGAACCTTAGAGCCACATAAGACATCTCTGCCTTAATCCAAGTGTGCGTTTGTCGTTTTTTGTGCCACTGATGACTCAAGCAGTCTCGCAGGTGGCGATTAATCCCTGCTGCAGTTAAACTGGGATAATGAACGCATGGAGCCGGACTCCTTCCATAAAAAAACAAAACAAAAACTGTTCCACAGTCTGGACCGACGTCAAACACACCTCCTGTTAGTCCCTCGGCTGAGTGATCCGGCTATGACGAGTCAAGAATGGTGATTTGGATGCACAGAGGAGCTTTCAGCTGTATTATTACGCAAGTTTGATAACCAACAGTGGCTTTTGTTGCATGTTTTTCTGGCTCTACCTGCTACAGATCCTTGAGGAGCAGCTTGTTTTGCAGTTTGAATTTTTCCACTGATAATTTGACTCGTCCTCATTCACACTTCTTTATAACTCAACTTGATATCTTCCCAAGCCCAGAGACTGAACGTTAAGTCTCGTCATGTTTCAGATATCCAAGAGTTGTTAGCAGAAATCTCCGTTAAACTTCTCAGATGGTTTAGTTTATAATCGTTCAAATTATCCAAACTTTAACAGTCTTTAAAATGTACAGAGGTGGAGAAGAACTTAAGTTTCCTTCTCGTCTCCAATCATCTCGGCACCCTTCAGATTTAAAGTTCTGTTGAGACCTGACACGTAGGTTTGGTACCACTGAAAGAAAAAGCTACCGACACAAGTGCATCAGTATTACCGAATCATTCATCAGCCCTTTTTGCATAAGAAATACTTTTGATATGAACTTTTTGATAATACTCCGTTACTTAAGTAGGATTTTTAGATCCATTTATTGAGTTAAGGATCCGAGTACATCTTGCACCTATAGGGCATTGTCATGTTGAACACCTTTTGTCATAAATATCACTATTCTGTCAAATTCAGATTTCCCTTCATTGGACCCAACCTAAAAAAAAAAAAAAAAGCCCCAGACTAAGACTAAACTGGTATGTGGACACAACTGTCCGTAGTTTCCACACAGGCATGATATTAAAGACAGGATACCGTGTTTTGAACAACATTGTAGATTAAGTTTTAATTCAAGTGATTTTCAAAATCAGTTTCTTCACAGATACAGAGCGTTGAAGTTTTAATAGTATCACCCTCACTGTACAAGGCTAGAAAAAGTTCACAGCAACAGCACACAAACATACAAAATAGTTATTTTTTACCAAATTCAGTTGTGTCGTTTTATTCCCAGCCTTTTCCCTCTTGTTAAATACATCTTTAACCCCGGTACGACGCCCGACCATAGCAAAAAATTGATTTCAAGTCAAATGTATACAATCTTATTTACACAAGGAACATTTGACAAAGTGCATTGAAGAGAGTCCTGATTGACGGTCATGTCTTTGAGGGATGGCGGGTAAATATATACAAAGTTTACAAATGCTTTAACCATGGCGATCCTTACGCAGCTTCTATAACAATAATAATTATGAACACTGGCTGAAAAGCTTGTAAGAATGCACTCCATGAGGTACTGTTGGAAAGAATAAAACAAAAAGAAATAAAACTTTTATCTATGATATTACTGACCGTACATAAATAATCACATCTGAGCCTGTTGGATCAGAGGAAGCAAGACAGAAAGTTTGGATTAAGTTTCCTCATAATGACCCCTCTACGGCCGATACCGACGGGTCAGATCCAGTTTGAAATGCAGTCCAGCAGAGTCGATCCGTTTGCAGAGAAACACATCGCGTCTTGAATGCAGAAAGCTCAGTAAGAGGTGACTAAAGTGTGGGAATTCACCGCGTTACTCTCAACTGTAGTGAAAAGATGGCGTCGGACTCCTTTGAGAGGGCGGGGCAAAAACCTCAAAGTTATGGACACGTAATTCATTGTAGTATTCACATAATAAATAACATTTACTCCAGTCATCCTCTCCACAGATGATGACATAATGCACTTCAGAAGGCATGTGGTCGGACTGTAAGGGCTGCTGCTGCAGCTACGGACAAACGTCGACATGAGAACGAGGTGGCGCCATCCAACGCTACAGGTTGCCGTAAAAAAAAAAAAAAAGGAAAAGAAAAAAAAAAAAAAGAAAAATCCAACAAAAAAGCCCCAAGACGATCATGATAAATCATCCTCTGTGCTCACTATTGAAATCTGGAGACAGAGGAGACAAAGAATAGGCTTATTCAAATGGGTTTTTGGCTGTGTGTGATATCAGCTAAGACTGGAAGCAGCGAGCCTGGCTCTGTCCAAAGAGAAAACAACTAAACACCTCTAAACGTTCAACATGATGCATCTTGATCGTTCCCTTTGCAGACAAAGAGAACTCTCTGCTGCAGCTGCGAGGTGACTGCAGTAGGTAGACGAGAGTCCATCCTGTGTCTGTCTGGGTTTAGATTAATCTCTCTAATCTGTGTACAGAGAGATGTGCTCTCAATGCACTCAGGATTACTGAGGGCCACACGATCACAATGAGAGTAGAGGTCAGTGACATCGAGTCTCCGTCGTCTGTGCCCGGATGACATAAACTGCCCAGTTTCTTAAACTACCGTAAATGTCAAATTTAAATCTGTCCTTTATGCAAAATACTTCCCTAAACTACGAAGTGTATTTAGGAGCGTTGCATTAAGCCTTTTAAATTGTGTCCTTGCTTAAGTGTTTAGACTAAGGCTGTCACAGTAGCTACTGTCATAATACAACACATGTGCTACAAAGTAAACACCAACAGTGTTAATGTTGACAATAACTATAAAGGCTGTCCATTTAGAGTTTCCCTTTCCTAAAAAATATGTCTTGTATCGCCTGGTCTTCAAATACCATAAATTCAGCCATTGTCTTGTGTTCCAAGAATTATTTCACTTTTAAGAGAATGTATGGGTTCTAAGGAAAAGAGTTACTAAGGACTTTCTAGCAATGCATGCGGGACGACTTAAGTAGCTACGGGCAAATACTTAAGAGCTCAGAGGGGAATCCTTTAAACTACCTAAGGAAATCCTTCTAGGGATCGTATGCTATGCTCATTAGCCTGAGTGGTTTAATGCAACTGGACACAGATTATTATTTTGTTATCAAAACAAGAGCTCCTTTTATCATTCAGGAGGGCGTGTCATGATTTTAGGGCAAAGGGCTCTAAAGGTGCTGTAACTGATGGGAGACGAGCGCGTTTTGAGTTTCAGTACATTGAGCCTCCGAGAGGTTTCAGACCCTTCTCTACCCATGATGCACTTTGCTCAGAGGTCGCTTACTCACCGCCGGGTAGGTGTGACCCACGTTGGCGCCGTGCCGGGTGATGTCGATGTTGAGGTCTTCTTCTGTGGTCTTCAGGTAGACTGGGTTGTCAAAGTTCATGCTCTTCTGGTTCCTCAGCTGCCAGTTTCTCCACATCAGGTAGCCACCCCCCGCCGCCATCACCAGCAGCACTGAGCCGAGGGACAAAGACACAAACATCAGATAATCCATAATATTCAGTGTCGGGGCTGACAGGCTTGTGGTTCCCACATGTGTATTAAGGTGTGTGTGTGTAGTTGTATGTAGCCTAGCAAATTGCTTGGCAGAGGGGGTGGGGGTCTAGTTATAGTACCACAAGTGCATTTCAAGCTTTGACGACAGTATTTGACTCAAACCCTTACATGGTACATGTGTTACAATAGTCTTGCGAGTGAGTGTATGCTTGCAAGTGTGTGGGATGTGTACTTACAGACTGGCAGTATGGCCCAGGCAGCAGCAGACCCTCTGGCTGTGGAGTCCACCTGGATCGACGTGCTCACGTTTGCCTCTGAGACAAAACAAACCACAGGTCAACACTTTAAACCCAACACACACTTTCAGGACATAATGTTCAGTTCAACGACACATTGAAGAGGAAGAAGATTTAGTCAGACCGACACATCCTGTGTCAGATGGTTAGTGTGTGTGCATGATCAAAAGGCCTCAAGGGAAGGCCGTCCCTATAAGAGATACCGGGGAAACAGGGCCACAATGATCGTGAGCCTTCATGAGTTCACATATCTAAATGCCCTCTTTTTGGATTCACCATGAACAGTTAAGATAGTTATTTTTAAAAGTATAAAAAAAAATTTGAGTAAACATGTAGAAAACAAGGAAAACCTGTGTTCCAAAAAAAAAAAAAAAAAAAAAAAAAAAAAAAAAATCCAGTCGGAGAATTTTGTGTCGGCGACGAGTGAGTGACATGACTGGCAAACAGCTCGGCTGAAAGACTTCAGGACAAAGAGACAAAACACAGGGTTTGTTAACTCATGTTCTTCCTGGCAGTCGGTCTGCTCTGCTGCCAAATAGCTTGGTGATGTAACCAACATGCCAACTACAAAATGGTAATGCATGAAAAAAAAAAAGAAGAGACTCAAAGCAAAAATGTGTTAGTCTGTCTCTCCATACAGTGACTTCAGCCCATTGGTTCCTCTTGCAAACATAAATCTTTACAGAACAGCTCACAGGAAATTACAAAGTCCTTGAAATAAATTAAACTATACATGTTTAACATCATCAAGCATTACTCAAACGGGGAAACACATTGCATGCGTTGGGGTGGATTTTCAGTGGCGGATTAACACACATTTGGTGCTCTAGTGAGTATTTCGAGCAGCAGGTCGGTGTAGGTGGGATTGAGTCAAATTAAGCTGCATAGTGTGTGTATTATATTAAGGAACATGTCGCCCAATACAACAGTGAGGCTTATTGAAGCATTATTAAAATAGAGCTCTATGGCACAGAGGAAGAATACACATCAGGCTTTATTACCGGTATTTGAGATTTGTTGACAATAAGCAGAAGAGACTAGAAGTCTGCTGATAATCTATTTTGAAGTTTTAACATGTTTAAGCACCTCTTTAGTTATAGACCTAATCCAGGGCTGTAACTTGAGTTTCCATGGAATAATTTAAAAAATAAAGAAAACCCTGCAAGATCTTTTTTTGACCCCTGGTGTGGGCATTCATTCTTGTGTTCTGTTGTATTTCCACACACACACACACTTTGTTTTGGTAGTTTGTTTGTACTTCCTAGTGTCTGCCACTAGGTGCTGCTCTGCTCATGGGCTGTTCTTGCAGTCAAACCTTTGCCAACAGAGTTTGATGCTAAACTGGATTAATATCCAGAATATCTTCCTCACCAGTAACAATGGATCAGAACAAAACATGAACACTGTGCAGATGCATCCTAAGAGCTCTACAGTGTTGCATGTGCAGCAGGGGGAAGAGAGCAGAACGCTTTTACCACCAATATGGCTTGAACACAAAAACGGTCAAACTAACTGAATTAAAGTCACGAGAACAACAAACAAGAACTCAGTCAACCGTGTGTTGCTGATTAGGGCCCCATTTCTTGTGAAAGTCAATCACCAACTGCATTTTTCAGAAGATTAGGAGAAAGGTAGTGAGCAAACACTTCATTCTAGCACAAGTTCACCAATCCCATTTTAAAACTTGAGTCTGAAATGTTTGCAGGACTGAGCACTCTGGCTAAATCTACATACAGCGGACGTTAGACTAACATACATCGGTTAAGTAACATAACACCATAAAAAAAAATAAAAAAAATCCATCATTAATGGGACAATGGGAGCCGCCTCTCTGATTACATTCTGGTCTCACAACAGGAGGGACAAATGAAATGGACCTGAAACATTTTGATTCACCAGCTGAGAGCCATTCAGAGCTGTACTCATGGCACAAAGCCTGTGTTAATTTGATCTTTGAATAGATTACACACAAATTGTGATAAAATCCAAAGAGAAATAGAAAAACACAACATTTTTGCAGTGAGATAAAGAAAAATCTCAAACTACAACAGAAAAAAGGGAAAATGTAAACTGAGCAGAAATATGAGTAAGGACGTCGCACTCTGTTATTGGAAACTAGAAGAGCACACCAGCAAGGACACAGCCACAGGTTGTCAACGGTTAAATCAAAGTTGGAAGCAACTCTGAATAGAGTTTGTGCTGAAACTCTGTTTACTGCTCACTATAGACTTGTTATGGCTCACAACTTTCAGACCTGAATAATAGACCAGAGGACAGTTGGAATAGAACGACCCATTCAATACCAAGTTACAAATTCAGAATAAGACTTCAATTATTTATCTGAAACGCACCAAGGCCCACAACACTTCTGAATGTGTGTCAGAACCCAACACACACCAAAGCACGGGCAGAAGCAGTCATTCTGGATATGGTAGACCCAGAACATTAAAAATCTCTGCAGCACTGTGGAAAGAACTTCAATGTTGGCATTATGGCTGATTCGAGCGCAGACGTGGCAAATTCACTGCAACTAAGGCTGCAGCCAAAAACAATTCAAAAGGACAGATGTCCAGTTTAACAAATAAAATGGGGAAACACCACCCGATCCACAGTAAGGAAGGAGAAGAGCAACTTAATTCATTTTTGAACACAGCACAGCATTCTTTAAAGCGAGTTAGCAGTTAGCTTTGGCAGCAGAGCAGGCGACAGCTGACGGTCTTACCAGAGCTTTCCCATCATCCTTTGAGGGACCTTTGGAAGAATGTTCTGTCACAGAGAGCCAAGAGTCAAGCTTTTGACAACAAAACAGGCTACAGAAGTTGCTCTATTTTTAAACTCTACACAAGCGCAAAGTAGGCCTTTGAAAATAGACCAGATCTCAGGAGACTAAACTAGTAAATAAACGCTCGATAGATGAAAGTGGGATCCATTTTTTGTTCAGCAAGAAAGCAGCAATCACCAAGATAAGACACAAGAGCTACATTCCTCACACCACGGACGATATGCACAAACAGAAGCAGCTTTACAGACTGACATGGAGGCAATCCTCAGGATTTTCCTGCAGTTAATAAAGCCAGACACAAACAAAAGTTGGAAAGTGAGCAGACGACATGCAGAAGGAATCCAACCGGTCTAAAGCCACATCGCACAGTAAACCGCATTGATCACAGCGTCTTTATCTGCAGCTCTACAATCAGGACAGCCAGCTGCAGCAACAATAAAATCCTTGCAGGCGAATCAATGCAGCCTTGATTAGCAGAGGCAGCAGAGTGTTGCTTTGTTTACTGTAAATTCACAGGGCCGTTAGGTCTGCCGTGTAGGAGGCGGAAATGAATGCACATTATTTTTACTGCCAAACAGTAAGCACAGTCGAACTCTGACGAAAACAGTTTGCAAAGCCTTTATCGACAGGAAACTAGCGCTCATACACCTTCGAGACTGCTGGAAGTTTAATAAGGGATTGGAAAGGACTTGTATTTGATTAGCATGTTTGATTCAGAATAGAGCTTTGATAAAATATTGAATGAGCGTAAAACCCTTAATCTAAAACAGGTTCGAATAATGATGAATAATATTTTAGTGTGGAACTAAGTGGAGTCCCGACATCCTCCATTTGATCGCGAGTTTGTTCAGCCTGAAGGAAAGCTCTCTCCAGTTACCTCTAAAGGCTGTTATTTCAATCCCACAATGGTAGTTTCAGGTTCAACCCCTGAAGTGAAGAGCATTGCTTTTTACTTTCTTTCACCAACTAGATTAGAGCCGGCCAAAGCTGCGACCGCACAATGCTCCACAGTTGCTATTCGCTTCAGCTGCAACGGCTGGAAAATGGGATAAATATGTCAGCTGACGGTTCAGCAAAGAGCAGCGAGGATTTTTGGCTCCGGCCCAACTAGGGAGCAAAGTGGAGGAGCATTCAGCCAGTGACAGGCATCCCTCTTTAACTCCTCCCACACAATTCTCACATTCAAACAGTATCAGAGATACAGACAGGCATGTAGACACAGCTGTAGAAACACTCACAAAAACTTGCAGAATTGCCCACGCTCAAGACACTCGCTTGGATAAAAAAAAAAAAAAAACAAGTTTGCATGAATCAACACGCTCACAAATGCACCCTAGAGCTGAATGCATGCACTCTCTCGCACACAGCTCGATTTTATACAGCTTGAGAGTCTTTATTCCTGCAGAGAAGAGAAACACAGGATGGGTGGTACATTCCGTTATCACAGCAGCGGTAAAAAGCCTGGAGGCAGCTCAGGATTCCCAAACAGCCCATGTGGAGGCCAAGTCAGGCTGCAGGGACTTTCACTACACCAAGACCATTACATCTGTGTAGAGCAGGCAGGCTGTGAAACCTGCTACAGAGCTGGCAAATTGTTATTGGTGCAGAGAGTTCGTCCCTACCGTACCATATTCTGGTGTCATACCTCTATTCCCCCCTTCTTTTTTTTTTTTTAATAATACAAATTAGGTCTGGTGTTGTGGTAAAATACATGCAATAATGAACTATGGGCGTCTGTATGCTTCAACACAAGTGCTTGTTGAACGGCGTCTGAAATGCCCCTGCACCCAATAATTTCTGCACATTTCTGAAGCAGACAACCCACTTCACTCAGAGGTGAGAAAGCAAGCATGGCATTAACCCGTCTCTCCAGATCCCTTTTCATTTGTCACACAACAACATGTCACTAAGTGTCTACACTCAAGGACAACTCTATGAAACGTCTTCGAGGAGAGACGGTCTTATATGTGGAATTAACCCCACTCTTCACCTGTGAGGGAGGCCGTTTAGAAAAGCTCTGAACACAGACTCGCTGTACAAACAGGGTCATTTCAAGCATACCGACACCTTTGTTCTGGTTGTAGGCTGAAGTAAACAAAATGTTGAATATAGTCCCTGAAATGCCAATGTAATAAGTTGTTGATCCATAAACAAACTAGTAATGCCAGCTAGGGTTTGAAGGAAAATTCCAGTACATTTTCCTATAATTGTGGCCATCCAGATTATGGGTCATGATACATTTGCATCCCATCTCTGTTGTGTTATAGCTTTCCAAATTAACTTGGTCTCCAAGTCAAAAGTAAATAGTTTACTTTTGAGCCATGCAAGTAAGACACCTGGAAATTCTACTTATTTCACCAATATACAGCATGGATCTGAGAAACATTTGAGGTAGATATAACTGGAGCAGGAAAAAGAGGTGCACAGGCTGCACAAACTGTTTCCAGAGTTTCTTGACACAGTCTCAGTTCTCACTGGGAATAAAGTAAAGAAGAGAAGTCTTAAAGAAAACTCAACAGGCCAACTAGGCAGACTCTCATTCAGGCGGGCAGGAGGGACGCAGTTTCCAGGGAGATGTTCCAGTCCTTCGTCTACGCCAGTGTCTCGCTCTGCAGTTGAGTACAATTAGGACAGTATGTGCACTGAATTCAGCCAACAGGTTCCTATCAGACGCTGCTTCAGTATGAAAAGGCTAATCTTTGGGCGTGCAGTAAGGAGCCAGCCGTTTAAAGACTAAAAACAACTGGAGCAGAGAGAGAGGACAAAAAATAACTGGATCACAACCATCGACTCAGTCGTCTGACAGCTCAACAGTAGCTAACGCGGACAGACAGCTGGGTTTGTGGCTGGCATGGATACAGAGAGAAGACAAGACTCGCAGAGGGAACACTCCAGAGAAACATGCTTGAGCGGATGGAAAACGGAGGGAGTGAGAATAAGTGTCCTTTGTTGCATCAAAGCCAGTTTAACCCAAAGAATTGGACTCAATTAATTCTGTTTCTTACAAATGATTCGGTGTTTTGGGGGATGAGATCTACCGTGAAGCCCAGCTCCCTTTAGCCTTTTGTTTTTAAATCAATTCTTTAAGAAGAGGCACATTTGAGAGGAGCAGCACAGCAAAGGGAAAACGAAGCAGAGAGGAACGTACAGGAATTGAAATAATGCACATTAGAATGTTGAGCAGCTACCGGTTTAACCAGCCCCGGTTTGTCCTCTCCCAAACATATAATCAACAACATATTCCCATAATGCCATTCACACGGTCCTAAAGGCATCAAAAGGCAAACTAAAAGATCGGTCAGATCGATTATTGGTAACGGTTTCTTTAAGTTTCTATTTAAAACATTCTTCCTTTTCTTGAAACATTTCCTAATCTAACGTTGCAAGTTGTAGCTTGCAACGCTGTGATCCTGGTTCAGGTGTAAACGTGACATCAATAGGCATATAAAATGTGTTTCACCGGCGTGGTGCCGTGACTCACCAGGTCTGCAGCGGTGGCCATCAGCAGCCAGCTCCTGTCCCTCCGGACACACACAGGTGTATCTGGGCGAGTGTTTGTTGATTTGCGGTGCAGGCAGACACATGTAGCTACAGCCTCCGTTCTCACCTCTCTCTGCGCACCAGTTAGTGCCTGCACACAAGGGTCAATAGCTCGGATTATGCCAGAAATATGAGAAAATCTGTCATTCAACGCATACGATTAAGCCAGTGCTGGAGTTGGCCAATATCTCACACGTATGCATGATAACGTCTTCACTAAGCTCTTCTGCTACGTTTGTCACATCACAAAGTCTTCTGCTCAGTTATTACGGAACTGTAAATGTTCAAACTTTCCATTTGTCTGAGTAAATATCTGACCTTTCAAAATCCAAATGCTGATGACTATGTCATGTCAAGTACGCACACAAGACTGTTTTGTCACAAAGCAAAAACCTACTGGTTCCTTCCATAAATCAGTGGCTAGTAGTCAATAATTGCTGCGTGATGCTGACTATTATGATAACAGTTAGTGCTGAATGTACTTGTGTCATGTGGAATTACAGTAATTTATGATTCACTTTCTTGTCATTAAATCACAGCAGCAGAAAAAAAATAATTAGAGTTTGCTCTGGTGTCACCGATTCTGCAGGACTCTAATAATAAGATTTTCCAGCTCAATAATCACTCATGTCCATCCTCTCTCAGCAGGTTCTTACCAGACAGCTGGATCAGCTCATGGTACACTATGATGTCCTGGGGGTCATTCAGGTTGCTGGCCAGCGTCACCACGTCAGCGCCCGTGAACTTGTTTGCGCCGTAGATGGCTTTATTCTCACCATCTGTCCAGAAGACTCGATCCTGGAGAGAGAGGACAGGAAGAGAAAGCACATTTTCCTCATTGGAAACCAGAGTTGACAAGCGCGAGTTCGGCCCCGGAAACTTATAGCCATATGCCGTTAGCAACAAATTGCTGTGGTAAGGACCACAAAAATGTTTACCCCAAAACAAAAAAGACTGGTTAGAAGTTGGATCACATTTATATTAGGTGGAAATAGAAAGAAGCAAAACATGGTTTTAATAAAACTTATTTTAACTAGACTGTCACTGGATACCATTTTGTTAAGATTGTGCACTACAGTGTTCAGATTGGAGCCGTACCATAAGCACATGTGCCTGCATGTGAATAAATGTGGCCGCTGTCTGAGCGAGAGAGCGAGGTAGCAGTTGTACGAGTGGGTGTATGAGAGAGAGACACAGCGATGGAGAAACGCGTCCATGAATCAGAAAGATGTGAAGGACACAGTACTGATTTATGTATAGCCAGGTTTTAACCGGCAGACATCATAGTTAGTGGGGCTGTCCTTAACATTCGGCCATTATAGTTTTCAGATACGAGGCGTGATCCACCAAGTGCAGCTGATTTCAATAAGTTTTTAAACATGCTTTATAGCTTAATAAAATCATTAAAGGTTTGCCCGTGATCTCGACTGTTTGGCGTAAGGCGGTCATAAAACTGAGTTCTCTTAAGTCTCTCATCTTAACATTAAGATAAAATCAAAACATTTGTTTGATAAAATAAGTTTTAGTCTTGTAAATAGTGAAGCTGCAACATCCCTATTTTTTGCACAGTTTCAGACTTTACTCTTTTCTAAGTCGTCTAGAACAGAGGTACGTACCAAACCAATGTCCCCAAGTAGCACCTTGTACTGTAGATACCAACAATGTAACAACCACCTCTCCTTTGCCATTCCTCTGGCTCTGTGACGGTAAATCACAGATTGATGTAGCAATGTAGTTAGCGCCTTCGGTTTTCTAGAAGTGGCGTTACTAGTTCATGTCAAATGTCATGTCCAACCAAATTTTATTTCTAAAGTATTTTTAATGAACAACGAATTTTCACATAATTGTAATGTTATTTGTTTAAATAACTTGTCCATGAAATTAAACAATTTATGAGTTTTAATTTAAGGAAATGGGCCAGTTGGAGAGAGAATGTTTGGGACTCACTGCTCTAGTGTACGGCAGGCAGTAAATTGAGCTGCGATTCTGCACAAAAATCTCACGACACACTTCATTGTTTACACAGCCCTGACTCAGGATTGTCAAGACAGCCCTTTGTACACAGCATGGCGGTCCTGTGTGAAAGAGAGAATAGAGCATCAGCAGTACCTCAAACACAGTGAGAGCGAAGGGATGAGCCAGGTATTCTGGAGACTGGAGTACTTTCTTCCTGTTGTCTCCGTTCAGGTCGACGCTACAGAGCATGTGGAGCTTCGAGTCGACCCAGTACAACCTGCCTTTGATCAGATCTGGGCGGAAGATTAAGCGTAAAAAGAAACGGGAGAGGAGCGCGTCAGAGAAGGCAAGATGTGAAAGATGGAGATTGAAGAAATAACAGAAGGGTGGATTGTAAATGGGAAACAGGGGAGTGGGAAAAAACGACAGGGCAGAAAAGTACAGGAGGGACAGAATAATTACACATGGTAGGAAAGGAAAGAAAGGAGTGATACGAGGGATGAAGCCCAGATGAACATTGAATATTAGAGTGTCGACAAGAAATGAGAGCAGGGAGTGGAAGAATAAACACAGAAAGAAGATGAGGCATGGCAGGTAGAGATAAGGAAGAAAGAACAGAGGGAGAGAGAAAATCTAAATCAATACAACATTTCATTAGCGAGGACAAATCGATGGCTTTTCTACAGTGATAACGCACGGAGGGGAACAAAAGCAGAGCATTGTGATGTTGGACGGTATGGATAAAATGTAAATACTGAAGTTGAAGTCTAACAGTTTTGGTCTTAATTTTAATCACCGCAAGTATAAGCTCTGCAATAAACTAAAGCGGCAGCTGAAACAAGGTAGTGAACTAAATTGAAGGGGAAGATACAATCTAAACACCAAGGAGTCCAAATTTAGGATGCAGTCCAACTGCTGAGAACAAGTGTATAAACTATCTGAATAAGTGGCTACAAGAGGACGAAATGAGATAATGAATTGAACTATAGCTGCCGTTTAACAGTCTATTATGTTGACTATTCCTGTTCTTCTGATGGAACAGCAGGGAAGAAAAAAAAAAAAAAGTGCTGTGATGGTAGAAGCATACTTCTGGATGAGTCATTGGTTCCTCTGTGCGTGTGTGTGTGCACGTTCCTACCCAGGGTGATGCCATTAGGCCACTGGATGTCCGTCGCCACCAGAACCTGTCTGCCCACTCCGTTCATACCAGACTTTTCAATCTTGGCTGGCTCGCCCCAGTCAGACCAGTACAGAAACCTACAGTACCAACACAAACACACAGAGCTGTAAATTTACAGATGACAGTTAAACGGTTTTCACCTGACGGCAAAACAAACTTTGTTACCCACCCAGAGAGCGGATCCACAGCGATCGATGCCGGTTCTTTGAGGCCACTGTTGAACAGAACTTTCTGCTTGGTGCCGTTGAAGTTGGCTACAGAAATGGCTTTGGTGCTGAGATCAGACCAGTACAAGTTTTTATAGATCCAGTCCACGGCGATCCCCACGGGAGTCTGGACGTTGTCGATCACTTTGTTGTGGGTGCCGACGTCCCCTCGTTTGTCCAGCACAGTGCTGTGAGGAAAACATTCAGTTTAATCATCACGTGGCACTGAGTCACAGGATCACCAAAGTGTTTAAGATTCATCCCGAGGGGGGCATGCATGCACCACATTTAATAGTAAGCAGTCTAAAATATGTTGAGATATGGACCAACTAACTAAACTGCTATTTGCAGAGCCACACTACACGTGTGTCTGTAATCTACCTATACATGGTCCTCTGGCCCAGGTCGGCCCAGAAGAGCATCTGCTGATTGAAGTCTGCATCCAGAGCCACCGTGTTCCTCTGCTGCTCCACAATCTGAGTGTACTCCTTCCTCTCCAGACCCAGACGGCGGATGTCACGGCGGTTGGTGAAGATCAAGCAGGGCTCCTTACCTGAGGACAGGGAGGACGATGTTAAATAAGAGAAAGTCAACCCGTCTTCACAATGTAACTCAGGTTGCTCCGTTTCACTGGCTGACGCTGGAGACATTCACAACTTTTAAACATGATGAATCTCTGATTGAAAGGTCTTCAGTGGAATCAAAGGTTTTAAGTCATGTGTGAGCTCTCTTTTCTAGCCATCCATGTTATCCAGAATCTGATCAGAGCAACACAATTATTGATTTGTTGGTCACATATAACCAGGATATCATTTGATTAAAAATAAATGACAAATTAGTGACATTTCTGATAGAGATCATGAGGATTATTGATAGAAGAGTAAATATATTATAAATAAGAGTTTATAGGATTAGAGGACAAGTCATTTGGAAAAACAAAGAACCATCAGACTGAAAGACAGTGATGGTCTTTGTCAACAGGCAACACAATCGTCCTGTTACTGCAGAAATGACCAAACAGCATGTGATCACACGAGAGGATGACATCTACAGCAGTAGGATAACTCCAGAGCCTTCTTTGAGGACAGGAGTTATTTTTTTATTTTCTTAAATCAATTAAAGACAATCAGTTGAGGATAATTTCTACTTTTATCATGTACTTGCCCACGTTTTCAAAGCTGCTTTTAAGATTTAAACTGTTCTCAGCTTAAATACCGACTTTTTCGTGTGTGAAACCGGTGTTTTCAATCAGGTGGGCAAAACTATACATCTAAAATAAGAATATTTCTACCAAACAAAAGTATGATTTGCAATTTTCTCCATTATTCAGTTACATTTTAATAAGACACTAATCATTTTGCTTACGCAGGTCTCCTTATTTTAACAACCAGGAAACACCGTTTCAGGCAGCAACAGTGTATTCTGAGCCATTGACTCACCGACTGCCTTGCAGACTCCGGTGGTTGGATCCATCTGGTAGCCGTTATGGCATTCACACTTATACCCGCCCTTCAGGTTGATGCAGATCTGACTGCAGATTCCGGGGTTCAGACACTCATTGATGTCTGCAAACAGAGATAGAGAGACGAGAAGATGGAGGGAGGAAGAGAAAACAGAGGGGATACAGCTGGTATCAGACGTTTGCACACGGCCCTGCTGCAACCCAAACACCACTGAAAACATCCCCATTGCATGAGATTGCGAGCTTGGGGTAGACAAAGTGACAATCCTACCCAACAATAAATGTTTTCCCAAAATGCTCTTTAGCAGCAAGCTGCTCTCATCAGAATTAAAAGTAAATATACACACACACACACACACACGTTTGGAGAGTTTAAGTAGTTCGTTTATACCTTTTATTAAGCGCCTGTACAACCAGTGGGACTCATTCCTGATGGGATTATACACATTCCCCAATATCCAAAGCAGTGCTTGAGGCCAAGATTGGCTCAACAACAAAACTGTCAGATAAGTGCCTCCATAACACAGGATTTCTACTTTTGAAAAATAACACAGAAAAATCACATTACACACCGAGGCCAGAAGAGCACAACACCAGTCTACAGTACGTGTGACCCAGCCTGTCAGATTTGTGATTTCTAGGCAAGACAGAATATATTGCAGCGTCAGCCTCAGTCTTTCCAGTCCTTTCTTTTCAAAACATCCAGGACAGTAACCTGACCAGGGCATTGCGATTTCTGATTAATCTGTGAGTGCTTGTGATGTTTACAGTCAACAGTTCTGTCTAATCTACTTTTCATACAATTGAGGTTTATGGCTGCCCTGAAACAAAAGCACGTCAGTGAGCAACAATGAGCTGTGGTATTCTTTTCAGACCGTCTTAAAAATGTGGTAATGTTGAAAATGTTTTACACATATCCGACTAGGGCTGTACCAACTGTGCATTTTTTTTAACTTGCATTTTATGTTTCTATTTAGTTTTTTCAAATAAGCTTTGAAAGTCTGTCATCACACTTTAGGACATCTTCAGCTTCAACATTTATTTTTTTTATTAACAAAATAAATCCTCAGTTTGGCTAAAGTGATTCATCAGACTAAGTGAGTTAGTCCTTTATTAATTCAACTTTAATGAAGATAATGTGTCGGTGCATGCAGCAAGCAGGAGAGCAAACGGTTTTTGGACCAGAGTGAAAATGTTTTTTAAAGGCTAAAATGCCAAAAATTATGGATTGAAGCACAATATATTATTAGATGAAAACATGTACATTTTGGAAATCATTTCAGCCACCTTTTTCCCCCCATACACTGTCTGTTGGACTTCACAACACTCTGCAGCTATTGGAAATGTAGGGATCACACGAGTAGGAAACAATTCTATGCAGCCACCACAGGAATATAAACCAAATCGCCCAACATGTCTGAAAATTAGATACAGAGGTAAAGTACCAGTGTGTCGCATGTCGTGGACAAAGCCAACTTACACAATTTGAGAACCAACTTGGGATGAGAAAAAGGGCAGAACACAAGCCTGTTCCGTCCTTGTCGGGGACACGTCACAACACATTAACGTTACCATTATAAAAGATATGTGGTCAACTGCGTCCCAGACCACCTCGACAAGTGGTTTGAGTGAACGAATAATGCGTCTTGGTGGTCGTTCACACTTTTATTCAGAGCTGTCCACTTGTGATCCGATCACCCAAGATGCATTTTAAAACCAAGTGTAAACAGATGTGACTAGGGCCCAATTGGATCCAAGTGGGCCCTCCATCAGCTCTGAACAAATGCTGCGTCATCAACAGAGAAAGCTTTGATGATTTTTTTAATGCAAACAAATCTCTGTAGGGTGCTTTCCATAATGTCAGACACAATAATCCAAGCCTGTCAAAAACAAGCTCTTAGTGGACATGCATTGACGGGCGAGGAGTTGCCTCGAGCGATTACACCACCAATACCAAAGATTCCCTTCAAACATGAATGCAATGTAAAGGTCACCTACCTCCACAGGTCTTGTGGTCTATGAGCTGAAGTCCAGGTGTGCAGTCACACTCAAAGCCAATCACCATGTCCTTGCAGATGTGAGAGCAGCCGCCGTTGTTCAGGAGACACTCGTTTAGATCTGAAGCACATTAAGGAAACGGGGCTTTGTTATAGCTTTAAGAAGACAGTTATCATGAAAACAAGAGATACAACCTATCTGAAAGAGTCATCCTGTCACAGTCAATTAACAGCTCTAACACGTTACACAAATGCTACAACAGATTTTTGGTATTATTCAGGCATCGACAGTTGAGACAAGAACCAAGAAGAGAGAGCGATGATACAACCAACAGACGGTGGATTCAAACTGATAGTACAAGGATGTTGTAGTATGGTCCAATATGCATACTTTGACCATTAAATACTAAAATAAGTTGACATTTTGTGATGCCATTTTGTGTGCCGATTGAGTCTGTAAGGTCAAGGTCTGTACTTTTTTTACTCGTCCCCTTTAACAGAAACTGGGGGGGGGGGGGGTGGGAGGGGCAGGCAGTGCACAAATACTTGACGGGAAATTCAGCTCATCACCAACTGTACAACGTTACACATTTTTTATTTTTAGTCATTTGATCTATTAAAATTGTTAATTTACATAAAATGCCAATCTTTTCCTCTGATTGAGTGGCAGTACGATTTAGACTCCGGCGTTCAGTATTCTCACTGTGGAAAGCATCGTCACTTTTGGCCGAGTTCTTTGATCCATGAAGGAGAATTATTTAGAAGTACTGTTCGTTCTCCCACGCTGAAGTGCAGGACGCATTAAAGCTGCAAGAGGCATTTTTATATTAAAAATCCACATATTATCAGCACAAATCAATGTGCAATAGAGAGGAATGTCATGTAGTTTTACCCCGTTTGCCCTCATTCAGATATGGACACTTTCCTGCCCACAGAAAAGGACATCTGAACTAATTGGAAAAGAATTTGTCTCGTATCAGTGGCCCGTCTCCTTTCTTGGCTTTGGTGTAACGCACTAAAGTACAGCATTCTGGGATTTCAACCTCAGATCTTTCTAGTTCAAACTGTCATGTTGCTGGCATTTAGAGCTGTCAGCTTTTTTCAAACAAGTGACATTTGCAGATTACAGTAGACAAACACTGCGGGTTGATCACAGCTCAAACTACAAGACCGTTCACGGTTACACAGACTGATGCAAATAGAATATACATGTACAAAAATGTCGATCAGTCTATATTTGTTCTGCTAGTTAGTTGGGAGGGTTGTGAAAATATTCCAATAATCATCTGCAACAGTTAGTCTTAAAACAAAGATTTTCTGTGGAAGCACACCACTCTGCATCTCTTCAGTTAGTCGTCGTTCACGTAGGCTCGACTTAACAAAACCTGAAACCCTCACTGTGACAACAAGTCCCCAGGAAGCTTCACACAGTCAGGCCTGCCTAAACGCATGTAGAAGGCAAATCTCAAACATCTTTGAGTTGTGATTCTGAGGCTGCAACGTTGTTGGTAAAAAAGCTGAACATCCTACAAACATCCAGACCATTGACAAAACAGCTGAAAAATACATTTGCCGCCTCATTTGTATGCTTCTGCCAATTTAAGTTGCAGGTTACATCAATGTCCATCCAAAAATGTCATTAGCATATAAATACTGGAGTTATTGCTAAGACCTTTTAACCACTGAAGTCTGATCAGTTCATATGGATGTTTGTGCCAGATTTGCTTTTTCTACTCACTGCATTCCTTGATGGGTTCATCGCTCCAGTCAGGACAGTCTCGGGCCTTGTTGCACACTTTGCTCATTTCGATACACTCCCCGCTGCGACACTTGAACTTCTCTGGTCCGTTGCACTGGGTCACTGTGGAGAGATGCAATGAGCTTTACATGTCAAGAGGAGTGACTGCTCACATGCAACATTTTAATCCTTAAACACAAACCCTTCCTCTTAATCTCAAGTAAAGGGCTTCTAATGCGTCACTGGAAATCAGGATAGAACTTATTTCACAGCTGCTCTGCCAGCTTTGTGTCGGGCCAAGAGAGCGGTTTGCATCCAGTCTTTATGCTAATCGACCAACAGATCCACTGCAGTGCAGTATTAATCTTCATCTCATTCAAAAGAAATTATTGCCTTTTGTGCAATCAACGCATTTCCAAAAATGCCCATTGCTTTAGGGTTCACATTTTCATTACAGCGCCAAACTTTTCAACTTTGTGAACTTTAGCAAGTGAGAGAGCAGATGCTTGAATGTGTGAAAAAATATATTGTAAGTTAGATATACCCCATTATGTTTAGAGCATCGCCAACAAACATGTAAGTGTCCGAGTGAGAATCTGCAACAAACTTGTAACTCTTTAAAGTCCATTTTCAAAACAAAGATTTATGCTCCTGGAGCAAGAACGAACAAACTCATGGAAACAAGATAACCAGGCGGGTTTTTGGTACATTTCTTTCTGGAAGAGCACAGAAAAACACAACACAGTGATGGATTGTTGGAAAAAAAAAAAAGCCTTCCCGACAAACACAGTGAACCGACACTCTGCTTTTGTACCCGAGCACAAGCTGAGGTGGATTGTGATGTTTGTTTTTTCTGTGGTCTAGACATCTTCCACATGTTTTTACTCTTGCATGCTTGCAGCATCTACAGTACACTAAACACACTGAGCTTCTGAACCTCAGGACAGCCTGAGGTAGAATGTATAAAAAGAAACTTCCAAAGAGAAGAAACAATGTTTCTGAAATGTATGCGTTTCTGCATTGTCTTGGTTAGCTGACCCTTTTACCAACTCTGCATGGCAGAGTGGGTGCAGGCTGTGTGAGACAAGTTCACAAAATCCTTCTGACTAATTTCTTAACATGCTGATGGAGACTGGATTCTTAGAGGTAAGGCTCTTCTGAGCGATCTAGTCCATTTGTGACCTTGTTGTCTTGGGTGGAACTATACAGGCAAGCTACTCCATACCACCAGTATTGTACTGGTACTAGTATTTTAAAATGATGATTAATGAGCACCTGACAATGCCCTGATAATTAAAATAGAAATAGCATTTGCAAAGCTGCACACAGAGCACGTACTGTTTTTGCAGTTGACTTCGTCTGATCCATCGGCGCAGTCTCTGAAGCCGTTGCACTGTCTGTTGCCCAGGATACAGTTCCCATCGTCACATTTGAACTGATCCGTTCCACAAGTGCGTACAGCTGCAAAGGACAAACACCAGAGTTGCACATGAAAGTAGTGCATTATTAATTTGTTCATTCAAATCATGCATCAAACAACCATTGTAATTTATCAATAAAAGAAAGCCAAACATTGTGAGGAGCGAGGATGTGTGCTTTTCTTACGTCTAGGTAGACTTAAGAAAAGCTGTTGGTCGGACATCAAACTCATAGAAACTTTGGGTTCTATGACATTGACGGCTGTCCCGTCTTCCCTGCATGGAATCATTTAGAGATAACTGGACAGAAATATAATTGAAGATGGCTTGAGAGTGATCCATTATGTGCTGCACTTCCATTCCATCCATTTGACATTACTTGATATCCGTTTTCATATTAACGGCTGAATTTCTTCAGTTTTAATTGAAACCCTTCAAATCAACCCCCAATACTGATCTTTTCCTTGAGGACAATATAAGCAATTTTACAAGTTTCAGCTAACTTGCAGTCTACAAATCTGGAAACTTGCTTGTGAACGATACAGAATTGAATCCCCTTTTTCTATGTCAATTAAAAGCATCTTTCCTTTCAGGCCCACATCACATCCAAACGCATGAATCCCCGACTCATTCACTTATCTGGAAGCTTAAGTATATCCCTGAAAGGAAGATCAACACATACCAACAGACAAACTCAACTCAATCAAGCTGCCGTGGTAACACAAATTAAAGTGGTTATGAGCTGAAATGCTTCATTTTTAGTGTGACAGCAGGTTTGTACATACGACAGTTGGCTTCGTCGCTGCCGTCCTTGCAGTCGGGGTCTCCATCACACCTCCACTTCTTGTGAATACACTCTCCTGAGCGGCACTGCATCTCACTGGACGAACACTTGGCCGGCGGCGTCGGGTGACGGCCACAACGAGACGGCGACTCGTCTGACTGGTCCTGCAGGGGACAGAGGCAAGAACGTGATCAGATTTAGCCTGAAACACCAAGTTATTCCCAAATAAAAGATACTATAATCATGTTAATGAGTTTGTCGGCATGCTCCAATGTGTTTTAGTCTTTTATCTTAAGACCAGAGAACGATTCGGTGCACCGGTCTTATCTTAGGCTTAATATCACTTTACAATATTAGATTTCAAGAGTTTCCAGGCTTTGCACAGTTATCAGATACCAAAGGCAAGAGCCAACATCATTAACAGAGAAGTCAAACAATGCGGTCGACCCATGTTTGATTTGACATCCATGTTTGACAGGCAATCTGGAGGATGTGCAGGGCAGAAATGACAGAGAGCTTTTAGGACTCAGATCTTACCAATATAATTGGAATCAAAACTCTGCCATCAGATCAAATGGGATTAAGAGGAGCAGCAGGAGGAGTTTCTCATACTTTCATCATCTCATAAAGTCATTGACTCATGTGGGAGCAGAGTTGTGTGTGAGAATGTGTGTGTCTGAACAGTTAACACTGAAGCAGGACTGTGACCGTCACATTAAAACACAGCGGTCTAAATATTTGTGCGCGCAAGCATTTGCGTCAGTTTTTCTTCCTCATTGTCCTGCGAGGCCGTCAGTGATAACCACACAGCCAATTAACAGGCAAACTGCAGACTCGGTGGAACTTGTTCTGGCTTGTGTGAAAACGTGATGGGAGTGTCAGTCAATGAGTGAGTGAGGCCGGTCAATAAACAGGGTGTTATGAAAATTCCACTTGCAGAACCGGTATGTGTGCCCAGGGATAGCATACAGGACAGTTTGTTATGGTGAGGCAAAATCTACTCTAAAAATGAGTGTTGCCACATTATTATTTATTTATTTATTTTATTTTTTTTAAAATCACAAAATAATAATGTGGCAACAGTCCAGAAAGCGATGAAATATGAAACTTAACATTTCTAATGTAAGTTCAAAAAGGACACGTTTGGAAATGCATTATACTCAACTGTATGATTTTGTATTTTAAAACATATATACCATTATCTTTGACAATCATTGTATTCTTTAAGTACAACTAAAGGTCTTTCACTCTGGATGTTGCTTTCCATTTACATAGATTTAAAATGCTGTCAATAAAACTGAAACTAGAATTACCGCCTCGCGGTTGCATGCCAACCAGTCGCGTTGTAGTTTATGCTCTTTTTCAGAGAGCGTTGCTAAGAAGAGGACAATAGCCAGAGCAATAGGCTTTGTCACACAAATAAAAATGCATTTGCTTTGGTAAGACGAAGGTCACCAGAGATGACGGTCAAACTGTTTTCCCTGATCCATGCACCTTGCCAGTGGGGGAACATTGTGCCAGATGCAGCTGCTCTTCTGCCACACTAGTCACCCCAGGTTGAAGGTCAGAGTGAGGACAGTTGGAGCCAAACCTTAAATTTAACCTTCAGCAACACCATCCCCATGATAATGTATTGCTCTTGCAGAAGTCTCGAGTCCAGGCTTAACTAGAAGAGATGGACCCTGAAAAAGACCTGCTCGAAGAAATTAGGCTGGCTGAGGAGACATCCACTCCCACATCTTCTTGTCATGCCACTCTAGTGCATCAGTGATAATTATCAACCATCCAATAAGGCTTCTCAGTCCAAATCTGCTGCCATTAATAATTGCATGACTGAAATAAAAGGTCATTATCCAGGACACGTAAATGAAATTCCTTCTTCCGTCCTCTGATAATGAAAGACTGTCCCTTAATAACTTTGGCAAAATGGATTTACAAGTCGTAGACCAGAGTGTGTGTATGTTTGTCATGGCGCATCCTCTTACCTGGCAGTCAACGTCGTCATCACACACCCAGCTGGCCGGGATACACGATGAGTTTCCACACTGGAACTCACTGGGACCGCAGGAGGACGGAGCGCACGCCACCTCGTCGGAGCCGTCGCCACAGTCGTCCTCGCCGTTACACACAAAGTTACGGGAGATGCAGCGGCCGCTGGCGCATGTGAACTCGTTCGGGGCACAGGTGATGTTGCCTGGAGGCAGTTTGAGGGGACAGGAAGTGAATGTGAGAGTTAAGAGATAGAGATAGAGATAGACGACTGACTGAGCTATATACAGTTGTGTGAAAAAGTGTTTGCCCCCTTCCTGATTTCTTTGCATGTTTGTCACACTTAAATCTTTCAGATCAAACAAATTTAAATATTGACAAAGATAACACAAGATGCAGTTTTTAAATGAAGGTTTTTATTAAGGGGGAAAAAATAAATCCAAACCTACATGGCCCCGTGTGAAAAAGTGATTTGCCCCCCCCCCCCCCGTTAAAACATGAATTAACTGTGGTTTATCACATCTTTGGAAAGCTGAGTTCAATTTCTCTAGCCACACCCAGGCCTGATTACTGCCACACCTGTTCTCAATCAAGAAGTCACTTAAATAGGACCTGCCTTACAAAGTGAGGTAGACCAAAAGATCCTCAAAAGCTAGACATCATGCTGTAATCCAAAGAAATTCAGGAACAAATGAGAAACAAAGTAATTGAGAATATTGTAGACACCTGGTGCCACTCTAATCAGCTAATTAACTCAAAACACCTGCAAAGGCCTTTAAATGGTCTGTCTAGTTCTGTAGGCTACACAATCATGGGGAAGACTGCCGACTTGACAGTTGTCCAAAAGACGACCATTGACACCTTGCACAAGGAGGGCAAGACACAAAAGATCATTGCAAAAGAGGCTGGCTGTTCACAGAGCTCTGTGTCCAAGCACATTAATAGAGAGGCGAAGGGAAGGAAAAGATGTGGTAGAAAAAAAGTGTACAAGCAATAGGGATAACCGCACCCTGGAGAGGATTGTGAAACAAAACCGATTCAAAAATATGGGAGAGATTCAGAAAGAGTGGACTGCAGCTGGAGTCAGTGCTTCAAGAACCTATACGCAGAGACGTATGCAAGACATGGGTTTCAGCTGTCGCATTCCTTGTGTCAAGCCACTCTTGAACAACAGACAGCGTCAGAAGCGTCTCGCCTGGGCTAAAGACAAAAAGGACTGGACTGCTGCCGAGTGGTCCAAAGTCATGTTCTGTGATGAAAGTAAAGTTTGCATTTCCTTCGGAAATCAGGGTCCCAGAGTCTGGAGGAAGAGAGGAGAGACACAATCCACGTTGCTTGAGGTCCAGTGTAAAGTTTCCACAGTCAGTGATGGTTTGGGGTGCCATGTCATCTGCTGGTGTTGGTCCACTGTGTTTTCTGAGGTCCAAGGTCAATGCAGCCGTATACCAGGAAGTTTTAGAGCACTTCATGCTTCTGACCAACTTTATGGAGATGCAGATTTCATTTTCCAACAGGACTTGGCACCTGCACACAGTGCCAAAGCAACCAGTGCCTGGTTTAAGGACCATGGTATCCCTGTTCTTAATTGGCCAGCAAACTCGCCTGACCTTAACCCCATAGAAAATCTATGGGGTATTGTGAAGAGGATGATGCGAAATGCCAGACCCAACAATGCAGAAGAGCTGAAGTAAAAATCACAATATGTTGCGGTTGGAACAGTAAATGGTTCCAAACAACCCGAATAAGAACCAACAATGTTTGTCAGACGCTACATGTCACGTGTTTGCACGGACTAGCAGCAGCACACACGCTTGCGATTACCATGCATAGTTCCAAGGTTGAGTAATGCAAAGCGTACTCTGGTTGGATGGTGAAGCAGTGGAAGAGCGCTCACTACTTGGCATCTGAGAAATGAATTGGGTTTGGCAGATGCCAGGACAACACTACATGCCTGAATAGTGCCAACTGTAAATATTGGTAGAGAAGGAATAATGGCCGGGGGCAGTTTATTATAGTTTGAGCTCAATAGTTCCAATGAAGGGAAACCAAATGCTACAGAATACAATGATATTTAGATAATAGTGTACTTCCTGTGTGTGTTTGACCCTTTTCTGTTTCAACATTATAAATCCCCCGTGCACAAAACCAGGTCAATAAATGGTTTTCCCAGTTTGGTGGGGGAGACCCTGACTGCTCTGCACATCCAAAACCTTTTGTATGACCGGGAACACCAACTACGAGCCAGGCCTTTTCACTCAAAATTGTGAGGTGCCACATTTGCACTTCGCTGCCTAAAAACGCACACTACAGTAAAACATCCTGGTACAGAGATTTGATGTAAACAAACGAGACAGCAATTAAATGTCTCCTCATACTACACAGCTGATTACACCAATTAGTGTCTTCAGCCAGAGAAGATGCTAATCAGCATCTCCTACTGCTGTAGTATTAAAATCTATAGTGATGACTCAAACACTATCTACAGCACTGGCTTCAGTCCTGATACAACTCCTTGTACTAGCTCAACATTGGCATGTTACAGCTGGAACGTCCTATTCATTGAAGCAATTAACATCTTCCATCGTCAGCAGTAATGGCAATCCAATGTTGTCATTAATCACTACTAATTAACTAAACATCTGCAAAATAAAATTGTCCTTTTTGTTTTTAATTATATGTGTATCAACTATTTTTACTTCATATTTCTCATCTGGAGGGCAGTGCTGGGAAAATGTTGCCGGACTGCCTTACTGAGAAATTGGATGGATGTCGACAATTTACCAGCATGCTACAGGCTGCCGTCACATCCAATTATTTTAGTTTACAGTTTGTCCAGGCAGAGCTCCGTGCTCTGCGCAAAAGGCTGTCAGTGTGTTTATGCCGCACAGTGTTTAGGATAAACAGCTGGCGGATGAGAAGTAATTGATTCACACGTCCATAAACGGTTTCAGTGCTTTAGTACTTGGATCACCTCTGGAAGAAAAAAAAAAGTGTCATTGCACTGCTTCAAGCGTGTGTTTCTGTGCAAAAGGTTGTCTGTTCCTTCGACAATATGAATCAGACAGAAGGGTAAACAGCACAGCTGCAGCTTTAAAGAGGCTATAATTGAAATCCAGAATGATTTAATCTGAAAGTCATTAAGTGAATAACTTCTGTTTCTGCATTCTAATACAGAGGCCTCGCCCTATGAACAAAGGCGTCAGAGCGACAATTACATTTCAAAGTTTTGTCAAATGCAGCAACTATAATTATGTGGCAATGTTTTGCTCCGATTAGCATTTAGCATTTTTTTGCAGCCCTCATCCCATCATCTATGGTGCCAATAGGCAGGTCAATTGTTTGAAGATATTTTCAGGCAATCTGCTTCAACTAAAGGTCACTAAAGTGTCATGTGACCGCATTGTAGGTCATCAGATGCCTTTGCCTTCTAGTCCCATGTTAATGTGCGCTTGTCCACCTACCACAGTTGACCTCGTCCTCTCCGTTGTCACAGTCCTTCTCTCCGTCACATTTCCAGAAGACGGGGATACACTGAGTGGAGCCCGCTCCGCAGCTAAACTCATTCACACGACACGTCCTCATGTCTGCACGGACAAAAACACAAAACAATGCATGTATTGTTCGAGTGGGTGCATACCAAAAGGAAATGCATTTAAGAGAAGCCATGTTACACAGATCTAACGAAAACTGGCCACTAGGGTAGGACAAGTGGGCGAATATTTTCTTGACATTTTGAGAGTGCATTTTGTTTATTCATGAGACTAAAAACACTAAGAGCTTGTGGAATATAGCAAGCTCTCTGCTCAAACACATCTCTCAGCTGACCTTACACAGCTTGTTGGGCTGGCTGTACAAAAAGCTTCTTCATACTTTATTCTAAGCAGAGTTTAAAGTACAAACGTCATCGTGTCAATCAGATAGAAACTCAGTATCTAGAAGTCATTTTGCACTAACATATATTCTAACAGATAGATTCTAGGCCAAAGGGAACTGACAGCAGTTGTATCAAATAGTTCAGTTTAAATAAGAATCATACCAGAGATGTGCGACGCTTATGCAGAGCTATTAAAATAAATAAAATGAAGTAACATGTTCAAGCAGCATCATATATGGAGTCGTCGCACAGCTGCAGTGGCTCTACTTGTTGCCCATCGAGTGCATTTCCTCCCATGATAGCAGTGCCAAAAATAAGACAGAACAAGGACACAGCATATGCGACTTTTGGGAAAAGTTGGAAATAACAAGCAGCCTTTGGCAGATTAATGGTGATGTTGAGCTACCCGTCACACAGAAAGTGATGGAGAACATAAAGTCCTCATTTCTGTTAACTCAATATTCAGACAACCAGAACTGCAAGCTGTTACATATCCAGTTTGCTGGCGCATCAACAGATGAGGTTGAGAAAATCATATTTATACAACGATGTCCCCCTCCAGTAAACGGTATTAAAATAAAAAACATAGTATGTTTGTTAATTAAAAAGGTCAAAAGGATTTTCTGTCCAGATAAGGGACATAATATCCATGTTTAGTACAAGTCACCTGGAGGTCTTCTTGCATCATTAGCAAACATTTTATCTGAGCATACATATTCATCCCACAGTGCTGGTTTCCATAAAGTTTCAGCTTCCAGACCCGGGTAGCCTCTTATCCCGGCAATCGTACACAGTGGAGGGAGATAACGAGCCACAGAACATCGGACGGCACCGTGATAAGAGCGGCTCAATGGAGCGCCACATGAAGGGGAATAGAAAAGCAGTATTATTGACTACGAGGATGTAGTTTTGTTGATAACAGCCAGGTAACAATAGGCTGCCATATTTCTGAATCCAGTTTGTGTCATGTGATCTATTCTAGATACATGCTACTTGATGAAATCAAGGTCACATGTTTCATTTTTTTTCATCCAACTATAAAAGCAAGAAATTTAAATAGTACGTTTCTATAGTCAGAAAAGGTTTACCGATTTATGTATTGAATATATGATCAAAGTATAAGTGAAAAAAATATGAGACTTCACATTTGTTGATACTAAATACCATGGTTGGTATTTTGGTAGCTTTTTCTCACAAAGACATTTCACCAGACAGCAACAGTGCGAGACTGTGAAACAGATGGTCAGCTAAAACCCAGGTTTAAACTAGAGTTCATGGAGGACTGACATCCTGCTTGTATTTATATCGAGGACTAAGTGAACAGAAGCTGAGGCTCACTTCTGTTCATTCAACACTGATGCAAGACAACTGACGTGAACAGGACCACGGCACGAGTCCTCCACTCCACAAACTGCCTGGAGAGACACACACACACACACACACACACACACACACACTTTAGATTCCATTCCCAGCTGCCAAGTCATGTGCAACAGCTGATCAAACACTACAGTGATAAAACAGCTATAGTAGCTGGGTTGACCTGCACGTACACCACTGCAGCTATGGCTGGAACCTAACACTGGTGATGACCTTTAGTTAACCCACACACTTCCAAGTGCAAGTGGAAACACAGGTTGTATTATTTAATCTATACAAGCACAGACTTATGTCAGAAAGTCAACACCTCTAAAGAGGGAAAGGTCAAATGGCACATTCATTCTCTGAAGTGCTCAGCAGGCAACTTCATTATCGTAGAATAATGTACATGCATGACATTAACCCAGAAACAAAAGGGAAAATGGTAAACTCGGGGAAAGTTGGAGGAAAAGATTATCAGGAGAAGCCATAATAAGCTGATAAAGGCTAGTATTGTTCGTCCGTTTGAACTGGGATGAGTTTGATTTAAACTTTAGATTATAACCTATTAAAAGCATTTTGAGAACTATTTAGGTTCTACATCTCATGGCCATTTAACGGCACTATGAAGTGCAAAAGCAGTTAATAAGTAAAACCCTTTACGTTGCATTGACAAGGATTTACAAGAGGGATGCAAAATTCTAACTCGGACAGCCTTGTTTGTATTGGGTGCATAAACCTTGCTCTCTGTGGTATTGGGAGCTCACAAGGTCACTTATTGCATTTATGCTGCTGGTTAAGCCATGCACCGTCACGCACATGCTGAACTAATAAAAGCTTTATCAAAAGTAATTTGGTTTAACAATCAGGTCATCCTTTGCCTCAGAGGACTTTAATCATTCAGATGGTTCCAAGCAGGTGGTCAGCTGGGTCTTGTTGACAAAGGGTGGATCATACAAAAGTGTTCAACAGGCTCAAAAAGTGAAAAACAACCATTTAAATCAAGATGACAGAAGGCAGGACTGACGCAAATCAGAGGTTTTCAAGGATAATACAAATTCCTCCCCAAGGCTTTGAGCCAATATGGGACGATCCATCATCTGGTAGATTAATAGAATAGAAACACTTGCTTATCCACCAGCTACTGATTTTCCACAGTACCCATTTCATTTAGTCTCTCACACTAAAACCTGGGTAGATCTTGGCAACCGTACACAGCCAACAGCTTTGAGTAACTCTTAAACAACTCCCCAGACTGCACTGCTCTCATTTTGGCAGCAAAGATCGTCATCCAAGGGTGCAGGAGGGATTAGCCCCGATTCAAAAAACAAAAAACAAAAAAAAAAACAAAAAAAAAAACAACCTCGTTTTCTTTTCTGCCAGGAGGTAAAGAATTTATTTTTGCTTTGTTTTCAAGTTTGTGCACTCAACCTGTTGTGGTGACACACTGCAGCAAAAACCAAAGGGGACTGCTCTGTGAAAAACAGCCTGAGTACAACCATGTCACACGCACACATATCTGCCTCCCAGCAAACTTCACTTCACAAACACAGATGAAGTGTGGATAACCCTCAGGTTCTACTTCATATTCCATGTCTGGCTCAATAATTGGTTGCATTCTTTGTTCTCATTCTCTCCCAACTGAAAAGGCATCTTAGATTTCACGCTAGCTGAGCCAATACTAAAGAGGAGGAGTTAGGACACTGCAGACCAGTCATCCTACACAAACAAGCCCTTTTTAATAGCCAAGATACCGTCAATATCCACCGCAATCTATTCATTCACTTGACCCAGATTTAAAAAAAAAAAAAAAAAAAAAAAAAAAAAATGGATCTGGTGCCAAAAGTGAGTTGAGATCGAGCGAAAGCACAAATAAGCAATGGTCACCAGTTGATCTCCTTGTATGTGCTCACTGTCACTTGTTAAATTAAATGCCTGATGAAGACTGCTGCACTAAAGCTATTCATTATAGCTACTACGAGTACTTCCAGTGTGCTAGATTATTTTCTACTCTGTACAGAATAATCAAAGAAGTCATTTTGGCTCAAACTGCAAACATTTGTTTGATTGCCGTCAACTCAATCAGCTGTATGTTGAACTGGCACACAGTAAAGCTTTAGCACCCACAAAGAAACACTACTGAAATAGTTTTTAAAGAAAGCTGCTGGCAGTTTGTCTTTTCTACTGCTAAGATGCATGTAATAAATTGGGGGGAGGAGAAAAAAAAAAAAAAAAAAAAAACACATTTCATCAACCCTCCACTGGTACTGGTTTCATCATGAGCTTCATTATTTACTTACAGTACCTTTAGCATGCTTAAAAAGTGTTTTAAACATTGAGGAAGACATGAGGCATGGATATGAAACCAACACGCATTTTATGAAGCGCTTTCATGTTCCCTCTGATGTTTGTCCTTGTACCCGAGGAGACGCCATAGTCCATTTGTCTGACGAGAGATTCTCATTAAAGACGACTTCAGTAAACACTTTCCTCTGATCCCTACAAGCACCCCAGCAAGTACCTCACATCACAGCGAGAACATTTAAAGCTCAGCAGCTCTCCTTAGTTCTGTTCAAACCACTTTCAGCATACATATGACAGGGCAGCTCACAGGAGACCCAACATGACCACTTTTAAGTGGCTCTCTGAATTTCTGCTACGGTGAGAAGCCGCATGAAATCTGTACTACGCACTCAGATTGTTAGAAAACTTTGCTGCTTGCTAAGCCAACTCCAGGAGTAATCAGCCGTATGCATTACACAGCTTTCGACCTCACGGAAAAAAGTTTAGAGTATATTATCTCAGTTGTGGAAGAAGTGTTCAAAAACTTTATTTCAAAATGCAGAGCATTAATATAGCAGCTCCACCATTGCCATGCGAGAGCCCTCGGGAGGCCATCTGTCAATCATAGAACTGTTCTGAAATTCAGATTTACCAAATAGAGTAAAAGTCCTGCCATCAGTTCAGCAGCTATTTAATATCAGCAAAATAGGTTTAAAGTAAAAGTACTCATTATGCAGCATCTCTACTTTCAAACGCTTACATTCCTTTGTACAGTAGCGTTTTATCATCACTGATGCCAAACTGGTCAATGAGGTGCTAGTTGTACTTTATACACGCTTGGCTGATTTGATCTATTAACAATACATCACTTTGTATAAGGCGATGTGTTTTTGGATGTAAAATCTTAATCTGTAAGTAACCAATAACTACAGGTGTCAGATGAATGTCTGAGTTTAAAAGCTGCATTTAGTGTAAAATGTACAATATTTCCCTATGAAATGTAGCGGAAGAATAAAATAGCATAAAATTATAGTATAAATACCTAAAATCTAGGAGTGTGTGATGCAGTAATAGCATTGAAGTTAAATGCTTTTACACGTTTGATGCCTTTGAAAGATAAGGCACTCGTTTCGAGGATAATAAATATATTCCATATTTTTCTTACAGTCTTACCAAAACAATGAATGTATCCTACAAACAAGTACTCTGTGTAGCCAAAGCCTGATAGATCTTATTCCCTGCAAACTACAGTTATAATAAACAAGAAAAATTTAGAATAATGACGGCCTTATCCTTCAAAAAGCGCCAAGTTTGATATTCAGAGCATCACTATGTAGAGATATAGTGGAGTAATGTCTACCTAAGCAGAGAATGAACTCTGTATCATGCGAGCGTGCCCCACTGGTTAGCTCCGTCACCACTGTTGCTGATTGCACCATTAGCTGCGAGCCGCCGGCTCAGCCGTCGCCATGTTGAGCCGCATGGAGGCAAAAGATATGCAGACACTTTTATTCACCACCATTAAAATTGGCAAAAAGAAAGGCCGTATTTGTACCATTTCCCAACCAAAAAGCATACCTACATTTTTATATTCCAGGAAGCCATTGCTTTCAGTTCACATCTACTGTATGAGGTATGAAATTATTGCACAATACAATTTTGAGGGAAAAAAAAATTGGTTTTAGCATTATAGTTCAAGGCTGGATTTAATAAAGGATAAGGACTTCAACCAAGATTAGGTACATTGGCAAAAGTCTTATTAAGCAAGCCTCCAACAAGTGGATTAACACAGTGTACTGAAATGAATAAAACTCAGACTGCCAGAAAGGTAGAAATTAAATGCAAAACTTAAGTTAGTCTTGGAAAGCAATAATATACATTTAGTAATGTGAAAAATATTTAAGCATGATCTATCAATGAAGACTGCTGTGGTAAACAGGTTTCCATCATAAACTGAACAAAATCTGTAATGAAACATGAGGCTTTCAGAAGAGGAAACTGTCTACTCACGGCAGATTTCTACGCTCTCGTCGGACCCATCCTCGCAGTCTGGCTCCCCATCACAGTGCCACCGTTTTGGGACACATTGGCCGTTGCGACACACAAAGTCCGCCTCCGCACAAGTCTTTCTCTCTGGAATGGGAGAGAAAACAGATGGATTCATTAAAACGGCAAAGAGGAGACAGACATGTTCTTTAATAAAACATCTCACATCAAAGAAACAAACTCATGAATAATAGGAAGAGAAGGGGGAAAGACCAAAGCCATACTCGCCACACCTCATGAATATGAATTGGCCTACACACCCAACCAGAGCCTCCATCAGGTGAAAAGGTCACAAGTTTAGAATCTGATGCAATCTGATTAATGAGAGCCCAAGCTCCACATTTGCAATCAAAACACATTCAAAACTATCCTCTGGAGATTTGATTGCTGTATGAATTTTCCATCAAAAAGGAGGAAGATCATTGAAAACACATGCAACATATAAAGTGACAAAAAGAAACTCAGTCTTGACCATGAAGTAGATTATGTTTGCCTTAGAATTGTTTTTTTCTGCTTTCATATCTTGTTCAACATTGTTATATCAACATAACGGTACTGGAGCAGCTTAAGCTAATGTTAAAGTTAGAATCTCCAATTTACTTTGAAGCTGACAACTGTTTCACTGTTGGCCATCAGGCTCAACTATTGAGCTTCCTGTTGTACATCGATGGCCGACAGTTTTTGTTGTTCAGCCAACTTGCAAAATTAACTACAGGTAAGTAAATAGGTCTGCAACAGCATATATGGCGCTGCAAACGTAATGGCCAACAACCAAACCCTCCACCTCCTGCACCTTATCAAGACAAACGTGAGATTTCAAGTTGTCCACAACACAAGCAAATCCCCTCCACACTGGGCTTTGGTGTCTCCTCGAGGCCTTCCCTCAGTCTCTGACCAGAATACAAACATAAGAACCCAAGAAACGACCAACTCCCAATTTACACCACGACAGCAGCAAGTCACAGCGTGCCTCATTAACAACCTTCTTTTGTAAATTAGTTTTGGATTCTTATCTTTCACACATCTCAGTTGAAAGTCAAAGAATCTCTGATCTCCCACTGAGCGAATAGCAGACAGAGACCCAGACGCAGCAGTATGTCCGTGGCTGTGAGAGCGTGTGAAACAGATTATGGGCAGAGGCCACGATCTGTTTTAATCCATCACTACAGTCATTTGATTGGCTTTTGTTGCAAACTCACCACCCTCCACGTTTACGTCTTGATAAATTTAGTAAGATAAGATGTTTGTTTCAACGTCACCAATTACTCCAATTTCAGGCACGCTTGCTGGGCTTCATCAACATTAACTTCAGGAACTGCTGTGGAAACTCTACATTAATTTCCTGAAGGAAATCCTGTATCAGAGGGGGGTCTTCCCCTCCTTCAGCCCTGCAGTACAATCAGCTGTTTTTTCTCCCCCTCCACCCCTTCTTCCTTTATCCTCAATCATTTCCTTCACTTGTTCTTCCTCCCAGTCTCATATGACCCAGATAGATGAGGGACAAAAGAAAATGGAGAAAGATCTGAAATCTATTGGACACACAACTCTGTCATATCCACATTTAGCTCTGCTCTATCTGCTACCTTCCCACCACCAGGTCATTCTGTCCCAAAGGATGCTGGGAAGTCTCCTGATGGGGCCAAGCTAACATGGTGGGTTCTCATACTGAATGTCAGCAGACATCTGTAGACTTATTAATGTTTCTAAACGATGACTTAAATAAATGTACAGTTTGGTACTGAAAGTATGGCCGAGTGCAACAGCTTGTCAAACTATGCAAAGGCATGAACCACCAAACATCAAGAATGCAACCTGAAGTCCCAGCATTAGTGGCCAGATGCACTGCTCAAAAAAATAAAAGGGAACACTTAAACAACACAATGTAACTCCAAGTCAATCACACTTCTGTCAAATCAAACTGCCCACTTAGGAAGCAACACTGACAATCAATTTCACATGCTGTTGTGCAAATGGAATAGACAACAGGTGGAAATTATAGGCAATTAGCAAGACAGACACCCCCAATAAAGGAGTGGTTCTGCAGGTGGTGACCACAGACCACTTCTCAGTTCCTATGCTTTCTGGCTGAAGTTTTGGTCACTTTTGAATGCTGGCGGTGCTTTCACTCTAGTGGTAGCATGAGACGGAGTCTACAACCCACACAAGTGGCTCAGGTAGTGCAGCTCATCCAGGATGGCACATCAATGCGAGCTGTGGCAAGAAGGTTTGCGGTGTCTGTCAGTGCAGGTGTCCAGAGCATGGAGGCGCTACCAGGAGACAGGCCAGTACATCAGGAGACATGGAGGAGGCCGTAGGAGGGCAACAACCCAGCAGCAGGACCGCTACCTCCACCTTTGTGCAAGGAGGAACAGCAGGAGCACTGCCAGAGCCCTGCAAAATGACCTCCAGCAGGCCACAAATGTGCATGTGTCTGCTCAAACGGTCAGAAACAGACTCCATGAGGGTGGTATGAGGGCCCGACGTCCACAGGTGGGGGTTGTGCTTACAGCCCAACACCGGGCAGGATGTTTGGCATTTGCCAGAGAACACCAAGATTGGCAACTTCGCCACTGGCGCCCTGTGCTCTTCACAGATGAAAGCAGGTTCACACTGAGCACATGTGACAGACGTGACAGAGTCTGGAGATGCCGTGGAGAACGTTCTGCTGCCTGCAACATCCTCCAGCATGACCGGTTTGGCGGTGGGTCAGTAATGGTGTGGGGTGGCATTTCTTTGGAGGGCCGCACAGCCCTCCATGTGCTCACCAGAGGTAGCCTGACTGCCATTAGGTACCGAGATGAGATCCTCAGACCCCTTGTGAGACCATATGCCGGTGCGGTTGGCCCTGGGTTCCTCCTAATGCAAGACAATGCTAGACCTCATGTGGCTGGAGTGTGTCAGCCGTTCCTGCAAGACGAAGGCATTGATGCTATGGACTGGCCCGCCCGTTCCCCAGACCTGAATTCAATTGATCACATCTGGGACATCATGTCTCGCTCCATCCACCAACGCCACGTTGCACCACAGACTGTCCAGGAGTTGGCAGATGCTTTAGTCCAGGAGGAGATCCCTCAGGAGACCATCTGCCACCTCATCAGGAGCATGCCCAGGCGTTGTAGGGAGGTCATACAGGCACGTGGAGGCCACACACACACACACACACACACACACAACTGAGCCTCATTTGGACTTGTTTTAAGGACATTGCATCAAAGTTGGATCAGCCTGTAGTGCGTTTTTCCACTTTAATTTTGAGTGCGACTCCAAATCCAGACCTCCATGGGTTAATAAATAATTTTCATTGACAATTGTTGTCAGTACATTCAACTATGTAAAGAACAAAGTATTTAAGACTATTTCATTCAGATCTAGGATGTGTTGCTTCAGTGTTCCCTTTATTTTTTTGAGCAGTGTATATACACACACGCATTTGGAGGAGAAATCTACCGTGTACAATTACGCCAGTGAGAAACAACGAGCATACAAGTCACTAGATGCTTCCAACTACATTATCTGTGGTCATAAACAGAACGTTAAATACCATGACAGACTCTTGAGTTTGAAGTTAGTTTAAAAACAGGAGATAAAGGCCTTTGTTGCTGCTGGTGGTAAGAAGAGGCTTAAAGACCCTATGCTGTGGTGCTCCAATAACTAGAGGGAGGGGAGAAAAAAAAAAAAAAAAAAAAAAAAAAAGACTCCTTGCATCAGTCTTACTGATGTAAAAACATAATCTGGCACCCTGTGAGTCAGACACCATTTCCAACTTAATTTACACATTGTTCCCTTTGGCACTCAGGAAACTATACTCAATGGTAACCAAGATGGATTGTCATCAATTCGCCCACACTCCATCAAAGGCCACATTAACTGTGTTAATACGATAGATTTCCAGCCCACATACAGCAATGGAAAGGGCAACTGATCCACAAAAACAGCACAAACTGTAACATGCCAACATTCATGAATTGTCACAACTTTTTAAGAGGCAAATAAGTAAAAAGAGGCATAAACGATAATTAAAAAGGATGTGTTCAATTGTTATTATTGTCAAACTCTCAAGAAATTAACAAAACCAAAAATGTGTAAGTCCTCCTCTTAATACGTCCCCCTGTTTGTGGTTCCACTGAAGACTAACTGCTCACACACCTATAGAGTTTCACTTTGAGGCTCCGATTTCAAAACTGCAGCTCAACATTGTAATTGTTTTTAAATCAAACGGGAGTAAATAGTGCATTTGATGGGGACCGTTTTCAGTTGTGGACTAGTACACATTTAGTGTTTTAGCAAATATTACAACATTGACTAATACTACAGTGCATGTGTTTATGGTAATGTAGGAACATAGCAGGTGGTGCGTGTGTGAGCAGCGCGCATTTAGCATCTCACCGCAGAAGTTCTCATCACTGCCATCGGCGCAGTCCTCGTCTCCATCACACTGCCAGACGGACGGGATGCAGCGACCGTTCCCACACTGAAACTGGCTGGCCTCGCATTCTGTCCTCGTACCTGCAGAGGAAGATGCACACAGAGAGAGTGGGGGGGGGGGGGGGGGGGGGG